ATCTGTGTGTCAGTGTGTATGTGCCAGGGTGTGTGTATGTGCCAGTACGCATGTCTGTGTGTCTGTGTGTGTTGGTGGAGGGGGGGGAGTGAGCGCAAGCATGTCAGGGGGAGGTGGAGTGACCGCACATGTGCACGGGGGTGGTGTAGTAAATTGTGAAGCCACCTCCCTGAAATGCATTTTTGCATGTTGGGATACATTTTACATTAACCCCTTAAAACCGCAGGACGTACAATTACGCCCTCTAATAGGCGGCTCTAAACGCCGCCGGGCGTAATTGTACGCCCTCCGGTTTTTGTTAACTTACCCGGTCGCCGGCGGTCCCACGCCGGCGATCGCGGTGGGGGGGACTCCCAGGGAGCCCCCCGATGCACATCCGTCCTCGTTGAAGCCCCCCGGCCATGTGAGAGTGGGGTCCTAGCGAGGACCCCACAATGGCATGGCCGGGGATAGCTGGCTTCTGTATTGCCGGCAGGGGGGCTGCCTGTAATTACAGGTGGTCCCCCTGCTGGCTGAAAATAAAATAAAAATAAGTTAATGGTGTAAAAAAAAATAATTATATATACTTAGATCATATGTATATATTATATATATATGATCTAAGTATATATATACACATATACATACACACACATACACCGTCTAGGTGTATTTTACTATTAATATATATATATAATTATATATATATATTAATATCAAATTACACGTAGACTGAAACTGATTAAATATATATATAATTATTGTTATATATATATATTTATATATAATATAAAAAAAATAAAAATGTAAATACGTTAAAAAATAAAATTAAAAAAATAATTAAAAATAAATAATTAAAAATATATAGATGTGTGTTATTTCGTTCTAACTGTTTTGTGAAATTAATATATATATATATATATCAAAATACACGTAGAACGAAATAATATATATCTATATACATAAATATATACGTATATATCACTATATATATACCTATATATAAATAAAAATATTTTTAAAAAATTATATAGATATATACATATATATACACATACATATATATATACATATATTAATTCTACATATATATTTATGTAATATTTTTACATAATTAGGTATCTTAATTAATTACAATTAGCGGGACCTGCCTGACAACCCATGCCGAAAGTAAAGGGAATTTAATTTGCTTGCACTATATTTAACCCTATAACTTTCCAAGACACCATAAAACCTGTACATGGGGTACTGTTCTACTCGGGAGACTTCGCTGAACACAAATATTAGTGTTTCAAAACAGTAAAATGTATTACAACGATGATATCGCCAGTAAAAGTGAAGTTTTTTTGCATTTTTCACGCACAAACAGCATTACACGGACAATATTATTGCTGTGATACTTTTTACTGTTTTGAAACACAAATATTTGTGTTCAGCGAAGTCTCCCGAGTACAACAGTACCCCTCATGTACAGGTTTTATGGTGTTTTCAAAAGTTACAGCGTCAAATATAAGGCTTATGTTTCATTTTTTTCACATTAAAATTCGCCAGATTGGTTACGGTGCCTTTGAGACCCTATGGTAGCCCAAGAATGAAAATTACCCCTATGATGGCATACCATTTGCAATAGTAGACAACCCAAGGTATTGCAAACGGGGTATGTCCAGTCTTTTTTAGTAGCCACTTAGTCACAAACACTGGCCAAAATTGGTGTTTTTTGCATTTTTCACACACAAACAAATACTAACGCTAACTTTGGCCAGTGTTTGTGACCAAATGGCTACTAAAAAAGACTGGACATACCCCATTTGCAATACCTTGGGTTGTCTACTATTGCAAATGGTATGCCATTATGGGTGTAAATTTCATTCCTGGGCTACTATACAGTCCCAAAGGCAACGTAACCAATCTGGCGAATTTCAATTTCAAATGTAACGTGCTATATTTGACCCTGTAACTTCCCAAAACGCCATAAAACCTGTACATAGGGGGTACTGTCTTACACGTGAGACTTTAATAAATACAAATATGTGTATTTTATTGCAGTAAAATCAAACAGTATTATGACACTGACCTTTAAAATGCAATTTAGAACTAAAAAAATCGTATTTTCTCCCCTTTTTTTCATATTAAATTATGTTTCATAGCTAAATATTTGATATTAAATGAAAGCTCTGTTTCCCCTGAATAAAATGATATATAATAAGGGTGGGTGCATTTACTATGAAAGAGGTGTATTACGGTTGGACAGACATGTAGCGCAAATGCCAGGTTTTGTTTACATTTTGTTTTGTTCACAATGTGTACATTTGGCTCCGTCCTTAAGGGGTTAACCCCTTCAGGACGGAGTCAATAGTGCACGTTCTGATCAAAACAAAACGTAAACAAAAACTGGAATTTGCGCTATATGTCTGTTCACCCGTAATTCACCGCTGTCACATTAAGTGCACCCACACTTATTATATATCATTTTGTTAAGGAGAAACAGGGCTTTAATTTATCATTAACTATTCATAGATGGAACATAATTTATTATGAATAAAATTTAAAATATTTTTAAAAAATTTGTTTTTTTTTGTTTTTGTTTTTAAATTTGTATTTCCATCTGACATTTTAGCTGTTAATGTCATAATACTATTACATAATAGGTATTACTGCAAGAAAATGCCCATATTTGTAATCAGTGATGTCTCACGAGTACAACAGTACCCCCCATTAACAGGTTTTATGGTGTTTTGGAAAGTTACAGGGTCAAATATAGAACGTTCCATTTTCAAATTGAAATTTGCCAGATTAGTAATGTTACCTTTGAGACGGTGTGGTAGCCCAGCAATGAGGTCGTTCTCAATACGCTGCTCATTTAGACAACCTGGTACTGAACGCGGGGTATGTTTAGTCCACTTAGTCACAAACACTGGCCAAAGTTAGCGCTCATATTTGTTTTGTGTGAAAAAAGCAAAAACTAATATTTGGCCAAAGTGTTTGTGACTAAGTGGCTACTCAGAAAGACTGGACATACCCCACTTGCAATACCTTGGGTTGTCTACTTTTGCAAATGGTATGCCATCATGGGGGTAATTCTTATCCCTGGGCTTCCATATGGTCTCAAAGGCAACATAACCAATCTGGCAAATTTCAATGTCAAAAAAATGAAATGCAAGCCTTATATGTGACTCTCTAACTTTCCAAAATAAAACCTGTACATGGGGGGTATTGTTATTCTCGGGAGACTTCACTAAACAGAAATATTAGTGTTTTAAAACAGTAAAACATATTACAACAATAATACAGTCCATAAAAGTGCTGTTTGTTTGTAAAAAATGCAAAAAACATCACTTTTACTTAAAATATCATTGTTGTAATACAATTTACCAGTTTGAAACACTAATATTTGAGTTCAGCGAAGTCTCCCAAGTAAAACAGTACCCCCTATGTACAGGTTTTATGGTGTCTTGGAGAGTTACAGGGTCAAATATAGTGCTTGCGAATTAAATTCTCTGCACTTTCTCCCTGTTGTTGTCAGGCATGTCAATCAAATTTTAATTAATCAAATCACATAATTCTCTTAAAAGATTACTTAAATATACAGGTAGAATTTTAATATATATGCATTTATAGGTATTTAAATTCTACGTGTATACTAATGTAATCTTTTATGTAATTATGTGTGTGTGTGTGTGTATATATATATATATATATATATATATATATATATATATATATAAAATACAGAATCCAGCGCACTCGCTTATTCACTAAACAATGCTTTCAAAATTTTAGAGATTGTAATAGTTTTATTTAAAAACACCTCACCTAGGCAAAAAATAATGGGGGTTTAGTTACATTATATGATCATATATTGCATAAGCCTGCCACAACGTCAATGTACCCCATTTTATTACAATCTCTAAAATTTTGAAAGCATTGTTTAGTGAATAAGCGAGTGCGCTGGATTCTGTATTTTGTATATTTTGGCCCCAGCAGCACCCTATAATGTATGCATGTTTAGGTGAGTGCAGCCCTCTTGGTTTTGTGTATATATATATATATATATATATATATATATATATATATATATATATATATATATATATATATATATATATATATATATATATATATATAATATATACACACAAACGTCATACGTTGTGTATTTTAATACTAATATTAGTATATATATTTAAAATACACTTAGAATGATGTTACATAAATAATATGTATATATTATATATACACATATTATATATACGTATAATTACAATAAAATATTGAAACAAAATTTAATATAAATTATATATTTATATGTAATTTCATTCTAACTGTATTTTGTTAATATATATATATAGGTAACAAAATACACTTAGAATGACATTCTATATCTATATATAAAATACAAATAAGCGCAAAAAAAATATATATATATATATATGTGTAACGTCATACGTTGTGTATTTTAATACTAATATTAGTATATATTAAAATACACTTAGAATGACGTTATATATATATGATATATATACACATATATTATATATACGTATAATTACAATAAATAAAATATTGAAACAAAATATAATATAAATTATAAGTAGCTGCGATCCCCTGGGGCTGCAAGCCGTTACGGCGTTCTATGCCACCGCGACGACATAGAACGGCGTTAAGGGGTTAACCCCTTCAGGACTGCATCAATAGTGCACGTTATGATCAAAACGTAAACAACAACTGGAATTTGCATTATGTCTGTTCAACCGTAATTCACCGCTGTCACATTAAGTGCACCCACGCTTATTATATATCATTTTGTTCAGGAGAAACAGGGCTTTAATTTATCATTAACTATTCATATATGGAACATAATTTATTATGAATAAAATTTTAAAAAATGTGAGAAAATAAGATTTTTTTTAAATTTGTATTTCCGTCTGACATTTTAGCTGTGAATGTCATAATACTGTTATGGGCAAATGCAAATATTACAAGTTTTAGAATGAAATGTTGTATTTCTTAAACTGTGTACTTTGTCTTTAAGAGAGAGTGCAAACTGACAAGGTGTTAGAAATGGAACATATTGTTTTTCATAGAGGTTTCTTTAAGCAATAACCTCAGTGCATAATATGTTTACACCATTTTGTCCCAGACGAATTACAATAACAATAATGCATAAACAAGCTTCAAGGCTATACTACAACTCTTTCAGCAGATCCACAGCCAGCTGTAGGGGGCCATGTGATTGCTCTTTGAGAGTGATCACATGGCCCCCGGGGTCTTCTTTTGCCGGGGGAGGGCTGAATGGACTGTCAGGCAGTCCTCAGGGAGCGCCGGCAAGGTAAGTATTTTCTGAGGCTCTAGGGCTCAAAGCCATTACAGCGTTCTATGCCGCCGCAGAGGCTTTAAAGCCCCATTTAATGCGGGATGGCATAGAACGGCGTTAAGGGGTTAAGAAATGGTATGCCTTTATGGTGTAGTTGTAATATTAGCCTGCACAAGTGCTCCAAAGTGGAACACGGACGCATCAAAACCCTCCATGAAAATTCACACTTAAAAACCTGAACTTGTCACGTCTCTTTTACAGCAGTGTAACTTCACAAAATAGTGTCTAGGTCATGCATTGGGCATATTGTTTTACGCAGAAGACTTAGCTGAGCATAATGTGGGGGGTTTGAACTTAGTGGCACATATGAAATATATAAAATGCCCAGCAAAAATGTAATCTGTATGTAAAAAATGCACAAAATTATTTTTTACCACATACATTGGCATATATTGGTGAGAAAATGGGGGCATGTTAAGGCACAAAATGCACCTTATGAGATACCCTGGAGTGTCTATTTTTACAAATGGTAGGCCTTTGTGGGTTTTTTTTTTTAACAGTCAGACTGCTATAATACCCCATATGGAAGCACAGGCTCATTAAATCCGTCTTTCAAAATTCTTCTGTGAAAACTGAAAAGGACAGGTCTCCTATATGGCACTGTAGCGTCACGAAATAGTGCCAAAGGCATACAGTGGGGTGTTATTTTACTCAGCAGATGTAACAGAACACAAAATAAAACTTTGTACAGGAATAGCACACACTAACTGTGACAAGAACAATCTCGCCACTGTGCATTGGAGGAGCCTGGTTGCCAGCCTGCTGCCTTTTGACTATGGACCGGCATTTAAATACTTTATTTCCCTATGCAGAAAGGTCTATTCCTGTATTTCTGCTCTGGCGTTCGGTAGATTCTCGGATTTACTGAATGAACTAATTTAACCCAGCCATGGAGCCTATTCGTGTAATAAAAGACTTTGGCTCCATGGCATTTGAACTGTATGTGTGTGGTCTGAGAGCCATTCAGTAATAATGTGCGCTCAGACCTAAGCTATCTGGGGATATGTTGCATGTCTGTATTTTATGTAATAAATGTAACCTTGTGTATTTTATGTATTTTGTCTTTTGCTGCCATGTGTTCAATGGAGTTTTGGCTCTGTCCTTGGAGATAGTTGGATTACTTCCCAATTATCTCCAGGATAGAAGACTCTGTGGAACTGGTTTTGGGCAGAAAAGCCGTGCTTCATTTGGTCACAAAGGACTTCGATCTATCTTTTGAACCAATGGACAAATTTGGATGATTTTGACATATGTTTGTATTTGGAGTAGGCTGATTCTGAAAATGTAAATGTGATGCATACTTTTCACGTTTTGAATAATGTGGAAAAATTATATTTCTCTGCCGGTGATAATTACATTACCCATTGTGTAAGGTAATTGTATCACAGGCAGAGGGGAGGATTTTGTGTGGGAGTGTCTGAGTTTATTGTACATGTTTATTGGTTGTTTTACAAAACCCTGTGGGTGGTACTAATGTGTAAGAATGTGTATATAAGAACAATAAACCCACAGCTCTGTCTCTTCCTGCTTGACCCTCAAAACGGAGCCTTGTCTCGTTCTTCTGGGGATTTATTGTATGCTATTCCAGTTTGACTGCTAGGAGTGTAAACGTATTCGTATGGTTCCGGTTCAGCTGTTTATAGCATTCATATGCTTCTCCGGTTCGGTGGATTGGTGTCTACAGTAGCTGCCTGTGTCTCTGGAAGGGGAAAATCTTCTAAACGGCGGTTTAAACCTTTAATGTCTGGGGTTGCCGTTACACCAACTTTACAAAATACACATGAGAAGTTCTTTGTTATAAGTTTGTGTGCCAAAACCCCCACAATTTTACTCCAATATTTAGCAGAGGTTGGCAGTGAAATGGCTACATAGAAAGTGTTAAAACAACCTAAGGTAAATAGCCCGTGATGTCTACTTCATATAAATATATACTTTTGTGTGGCAATTTTTTTTTTTTTTTATGGCTATTAAGCTTACAAGACAAACACACCAAATTCTAAAATCGCTCCACATTAAAAGTTTATTTTACTCCTTGTGCTTTGTGACCTGTAACTACCAAAAATAAAAAAACCTTAAAATCCTAGACACATTATATATTCTGTAAATCAGAACAACTAAATTAATTTATTTTTACTTTCCTTAACCTGCACTAATTATGCACACATTATAATTGCAAAAACTGAAAGAGAGAAAAACAATTTTTCATGTTTTTTGCATTTTTTAAAAAAAAATATTAAATAAGCATTGTAACAGATCACCTGGCACCCAGACTGGGTACCTCCGTTGAAGGATGCTCTTAGCGCTTCCTGAGGGCTCTAAGCACTCCAAAAGATACCATAACCACCGTAGACTCCTCCAGAGAGCAAGGCAGGAACAAGCTTTTACAAGAGCTTAGTGATTATAGCAAGGGAGTATGACAAGCATAGCAATCCCTTGTAGCAGATTCCCCCAATAAGAGACGGCATTCCAAATTGAGGGTGAAGTAGAACTGGGCAGAGCTGTGGGTTTATTGTTCTTATATACACATTCTTACACATTAGTATCACCCACAGGGTTTTGTAAAACAACCAATAAACACGTACAATACACTCAGACACTCCAACCCAAAATCCTCCCATCTGCCTGTGATACAATTACCTTACACAATGGGTTAATATAATTATCACAGACAGGAAAATACAGTTTTACACAATATTCATAACTTTAAAAGTATGCATCACATTCACAGAAATTGTCCTGTGTATAGCGTAGCAAGTGTAATTCCCTGGATAAATAGTGACACCATTGGGTGGTTTGATATTCCTAGTAGTCATAGGATACTCTCTCTTCCATGACTCTCACGCAGACCTATTGGTTTTAGCATATGCAAAGAGACCCAGAAAACATGTCTCTGTGGGGGGTAGGTTTAAGGGCAGAGTACCCAGATGAGGTCGGGTACCACCACAAACATAAGTTAGTTTTATTATGAGAGTTAGCATTATATCTCATCCATTCAAGCCATAGGTTAGTATCAGAGAAACCTGTCTCTACAGCCATAGTATCTTCAAATGTAAGGTTGGCTATGACTACCGTGTCTTCAATAGTCTTAATGTGAGGTTTGAGGGGATTAGTGGTCATGGGAATCTACCCACTCTGGTGATTGATACATGTCTTGTAGATAGAAGGTTCCTTGTTTATTATATGAACAACCTCCTTTCCAGTTCATTCCCGTTACGTACTCACCAGCATCTCCAGGGCTAGGGTGTTCTATACTCAGAGTTAGTTTCATGGGAGTTGCCCCCCCCCCGGTTTCTGTAAAGTCATTCTATGTAGCAGGGACGTCTAAGGCACTTTGAGGTTTGTAGCCCAATGCTGGGCCTGTGTTCCAACCTGCCACCCTCCAGGAGCTACAGTCATGTCCCCAGTAGTCATCTATCACGCATTTGTATGGGTCCTTTACGTTGGGTATGTCTTTGTATAATGTTGATAGCAATGACTGTGGGAATGTACAGCTGATAATATCACAATAATCAAATGAAAAGGTGGCTACATGTGTATTAGATGAGTTGTACCTGTAAGGCATTACCTGGCACCCCGACTGGGTACCTCTGTTGAAGGATGCTCCTAGTGCTTCCTGAGGGCTCCAAGCACTCTAGCAGACACCACAACCACCGCAGGCCAAACCTCTCTTCAATCAGAGCGAAGCAGGAACAAGCTCTTACAAGAGCTTTAGGAGTGATTATAGCAAGGGAATATGCAGAGCATAGCAATCCCTTGTAGCAGATCCCCCAATAGGAGACGAGACTCCAAATTGAGGGTGAAGTAGAACTGACAGAACTGTGGGTTTATTGTTCTTATAAACACATTCTTACACATTATTACCACCCACAGGGTTTTGTAAAACAACCAATAAACATGTACAATGCACTCAGACACTCCCACACAAAATCCTCCCCTCTGCCTGTTATACATTTACCTTACACAATGGGTCAATATAATTATCACAGGCAGGAAATGATACAGTTATACACAATATTCATAACTTTAAAAGTATGCATCCCATACCAACATACGTCAAAATCATACACATTGGTCCAGTGGGTCAAAAGTTAGATCGACGTCCTTTGTGACCAAAAGAAGCATGGCTTTTCTGCCCAAAACCAGTTCCACAGAGTCTTCTATCCTGGAGATAATTGGGAAGTAATCCAATTGTCTCCAAGGACAGAGGCAAAACTCCTCTGTTTTTGAGTCTTTGCAGGGGAAAATCAAGCATTTCAACATGGGGCCATAGTCACAGGGCAGGAGGCTGGCAATTAGTCTTCTCCAATGCCCAGTGGCGAAGCTGGTACCGCCACATTTCTCCCCTTTCCCAAAAAGACTAACAAGGTATCTGGCCTCCTGTCGGTCAGTGCCTTGGTTAGTCCAGCAACCCACCCACAAAACATAGTCAGTAGTGCAGGCCACCCACAATGAAAAGTTACTGCACCTGGGGAAACGTGCAGCCAGTCTTTGTCCAGGGGCTCCATCATGGCTGTGGGGTACAGGTACTCCGGATCTGTGGGTTGCTGAGTGGGCAGAGACCAGCGGTACTCTGCCGTGGTGCCAGCACTTCAGCTGGAGTAGTCTGGTTGGAGCCCAGCTGTTAAGTAGGCTCCTCTCCCTGGACCCGGTGCTGCTGCTGGAGGGGGAGACCGATTGTCTCCCCTTTTGATAAACAGTCCTGCTGCTGGGGATCTGGGCAGGTTGTCCCACACCCCTGTAGACCGGGTGCAGAGACCGTGGTCCCATCTGGGAGAATAAGGTCTCCCCTTTGGGGAATAAGCTGCCGCTGGGGAGAAGTGGTAACCGGCTCCTCTCCCTGACACTCTCTCCAATGCTGGAGAGGGGGACCGACTGTCTCTTCTCCCAATAACTCATGCTACTGTTGGGAAGTGAGACTGACCGTCTCCCTTTCCAATAACATACTCAGCCGCCGGGGAGGAAGGATGTCACCTTTGGCTCCCTGGAACTCACACTGCTGCTGGGAAGTGAGACAGATTCTCTCCCCTTCCAATAACATACACAGCCGCTGGGGAGAGAGACTGACTGTCTCTTCTCCCAATAACTCTCTTGGCCACTGGGGAGAGAGACCGACTGCCTCTTCTCCCAGTACCCATAATGCTGCTGGGAAGTGAGACCAACTGTCTCCCCTTCAATAATGCGCTCTGCCGCTGGGGAGTGAAACCGGTGGTCTCTCCTCCCTGTAATGTACTCTGCCGCTGGGGATCTGGGCCGACTGCCCAGCATCCCTGTAGGGCTGTTAGAGAGATCTCTGTCCCATCTCCACCTGCCATCTTTGGGTCTCTCCAGGACCAGTCTATGAGGTCCCCTACTTCTGCAGCTGGTAGTGAAGCAGGGGGTACCTCGGCCGCGTTTTCCCAGCTGTAGGCTGGTAGGTCTGGGTCCGCCACCCAGTTTTCCCATTCTGCGTCCATGCTCTGCGGCTGACACGAGTTTAGTAATTCCACATAGTGCATCTCCAGCTCTCGTTCCATGGCAGCGAAAAGGCGGAGGTCTTCTACCAGACCAATAGATCTCGGGCCCTGTAACATCTCACCCCGGTAATGCGAGATAGCCCAGTACCGTGACTCTGCTGGACTGCCAAAGTCGACGTCTTCCGCTAAGGCCTTCCACAACAGGCCAGGGCTAGTGTAGTTCTCCCCCTCCGGCTGGATGCTCTCTGCCCTCCACGTCTCTGGATGAACAGTGCACCACCACAGTGCCCAGTATGAGGCGTCCAGGCTCAGTTCCCTTTCCACATGGTACTCAAGTTGTCTTACCCGCTCCCCTCCGGGTTGGTCTCCCTGAAGCGGCATCCTCCAGGCTATTTGTTCCTCCAACTGGTATGCGACACCAGGAAGGCGCTGCTGTTGATACTGGACTTCCTCCAGGGCATCGAACCATAGTTCTTTCCGGGCAATATCTCTCCATTCCAATTCACTCTCTTCCTCAAGTGTGTGTGCTGCCCATTTTCCAAACCAAATCTTTCTGTAGACAGGGACGCTGTATGAACTGGCGTCGCCCTCAATTTGTAAATCCACGAACGGTGTCTATTAGCTGCTTTACCTCGCACTAGGATGCCATCCCACCGCTGCCACCAATGTAACAGATCACCTGGCACCCCTACTGGGTACCTCCGTTGAAGGATGCTCCTAGTGCTTCCTGAGGGCTCCAAGCACTCTAGCAGACACCACAACCACCACAGGCCGATCCTTTCTTCAATCAGAGCGAAGCAGGAACAAGCTCTTACAAGAGCTTAGGAGTGATTATAGCAAGGGAATATGCAGAGCATAACAATCCCTTGTAGCAGATCCCCCAATAAGAGACGAGACTCCAAATTGAGGGTGAAGTAGAACTGACAGAACTGTGGGTTTATTGTTCTTATATACACATTCTTAAACATTATTACCACCCACAAGGTTTTGTAAAACAACCAATAAACATGTACAATACACTCAGACACTCCCACACAAAATCCTCCCCTCTGCCTGTGGTACAATTACCTTACACAATGGGTTAACCCCTTAAGGACACAACTTCCGGAATAAAAGGGAATCGTGACGGAATATTTCCGTCATATGTTCTTAAGGGGTTAATATAATTACCACAGGCAGGAAAATACACAGTTATACACAATATTCATGACTTTAAAAGTATGCATCCCATTACATTTTCAGAATCGGCATACTCCAAATAACAACATATGTCAAAATCATACAAATTGGTCCAGTGGTTCAAAAGTTAGATCGACGTCCTTTGTGACCAAATGAAGCATGGCTTTTCTGCCCAAAACCAGTTCCACAGAGTGTGGGGATATTTATGGGATAATAATAGTAAACAGTGAGAATTGCCCACTAATTCAATTCTCAGATCCCAAAGATCGTTATCGTGTTAAGTGAAATGTATTTCATATAGATAAAATCACAATATGTTATAAAATAGATTGATTTATTATGACCAATAATTAACAAATAATATTATGTAACATGTGTGACAATAATCAATGAATATCCAGTATAAAATGATATGCAATACAATGGAATAGGTATACACGTTTCAATGGCTAAACAGCATTTTCTGTCAAGACTTACACGATTTATGAGGTATCCTTACAGACACAGAAAGCGAAGCTTTTCACAGCGAAGGGCCATAAAACCCTGGCTAACAGTTAGATCAACTGAATAACCCTTTCAATGCTGGCTAGATCCTCCTAGGTAATTAAGATCTATTCTTATGTAATTTTAAATAAAATAACATTTAAACTAGTTCATTAGTCATTTCCTGGAACCATCCAATAAGAGAATCTATCGTGTTTTTTTACAAAAGCCGAATTTAATTTGTCTAAAAAGATATCTTATCTTATATTACAGCAAATCAATACACCTGGATAAAAATAGCGGTATGCTAACACGTGATAATATCACATTAATATATAATTATTCTTAATTCCACCTGCAGAATGGAATGTTTATAACTATATATTCTTTAGTTAACTAAGATTTCTAAATATGGAAATCTGACCGTGATTTATCCAGTCATATATCATGCTATTAGTAAATTTTAATTAATTTAATTTAATTAAATAAAACGAGTATAATTACCAGTTGAGTAGATATTTTTCGATTGGTAGGTAGTCTCAGGAACTTATTTGGATGTCTCTCTGCATGGAGGTGTGTAGGAAGTTCTGAGTGTCCTAGAGTGTCATTGCTCCCGACTGCTCACTTCTTTGCTTCCTTTGTATACCCTTGTATTCCTCGCCTACCTCTTTCTTCTCTCTCCTCTGTCTTAACTTTTTAAAGGGAAAATTCACTAGTTGATAGACCAATAGGAACACTGGAGGTGTGGTTACCTTCCAGATAGCCATTTAGTATTTGGTCTATAGAGGGCAGTCTTGTCTCACTAAACATACCTATCCAGGAAAGAGTTAACTTTTCTTGGTGGCTATTTTGACGTCATTTTGCTTTATCTTTATGGTTGCCATAACTTAAGTTTTCTTTCACTTCAAAGGGTTTTCTCTTAGTTTTGTCCAGACTTAGTGTCTGCAATTGCTGCTATAATTTCTAATATGACAGTTCGTAAACTAAGTTTCACCTTAAACTACAATGGGAGGTTATACAATATAAAAAGTAAAATTAAATTATTTAATCTTCTCTGTCACAAATGTCTGGGTTTAGAATTGATTATATTCCATTAGCATTTAGACAGTCTGTCCAACCCCCGTTCTCCTTATCACTTGGTTTGTATATACTATGCATTCCTTTAGCTCTGGGAAAGTGGTTAGTTTTACAGATAGAAATCTTGTGTCTTTTGTTAGCTTGAAAATAACAAAATGGAGTCTGCTCTGTTCAAAAGTGACTCAGCATATACACTTTTAAATTCTATCATAGCACAAGATGTCTGCCGATATAAATACCCTGACAAGAGTCTTCTATCCTGGAGATAATTCGGACGTAATCCAATTATCTCCAAGGACAGAGGCAAAACTCCATTGAACACATGGTAGCAAAATACAATAAAATACATAAAAATATATAACTGTGCAGCTATTGCATAAAACAGGTACATTCAACATATCCCCAGATAGCTTAGATCTGAGCACACATTATTACTGAATGGCGCTCAGATCACATACATACAGTTCAATTGCCATGGAGCCAAAGTCTTTCACATAGTCTTACGAATGGGCTCCATGGCATAGCTATCTGGGGTAACACTGCTCACATAGGGAAAGTACCGAATGACCCGGCTTTCGAGTCTTTGCAGGGGAAAATCAAGCATTTCAACATGGGGCCATAGTCACAGGGCAGGAGGCTGGCAATCAATCTTCTCCAATGCCCAGTGGCGAGGCTGGTTCCGCCACAGTACCAAAATGTGTAAACATGATTATCTTTAGTAATAGCAACTTGTTGGGCCTCCATTAGGCCTAGCAGCAGAAACAAATGCAGGAAACTCATGGCCTGGGACAATCCACTTCCTCTGGAGCTGGAACTTTGTTGCAGTGGGAAGCGTGTGTCCAAGTGCTCTTTCCGGCAAATTTAATTGAGGTAGATGTGGTTAGGAGAACTTGGAAAGGACCATCATATCTTGGCCCAAGAGTGTGTTTCCTCACGAATCTCTTAACCAGAACCCAATCACCAGGAAGCAGCTTGTGGGTGCCTGTATCAGACTCTGGATCTGGAATGGAAGAAAACACTTGTATATCAGACTGGAGTTGGAGCTGCTGAGGAAAGTAGCAGCCAAGTCTAGGGGCTGGACCAAACAAAATCTCATAAGGAGACAGGCAAAACCTCCCTCTTGGTGTGTAGCCTTACACTAAACAGAGCTATGGGAAGATTAGTTAGTTAGTTAGGGCAGGTTAGTCTCTTGGGCCATCTTAAGCATCCTGGCTTTTAAGGTGCCATTCATGCATTCTACCTTGTGTGGTGGAACCAGCCTCGCCACTGGGCATCAGAGAAGACTGATTGCCAGCCTCCTGCCCTGTGGGCTACTTGAGGGGTCGCTGACAGCGGCAGGCATAATGGGAATGGACACACTGGGGGTGGCCATGACGGGGGCAGTGACAGAAGCGGAAACAGGTGAGGGAGAGGAAATGGCCATGGGGGCAACCATGGCAGGGGTAGGTGGGGTTAAAGCTGGGAGTGACGGTGAGGTAGGGCCGGAGGCAGAACAGGGGCAGAAATTACGGTAGTAAGGGGCGGTAGAGGTTGGGCGAGGACAGGAGAGGAGGGAGCTGGAAGTGAGGGCAAAGTGATAAGTGGGACAGAGGCGGGCATTGTGTGGGCAGGAACGGGAGATGTGACGGGGCGGGTAGGGAAGGCGTGATTAGGGCCGGGGAAAAGAAGGATCTGTCCACTCTAAGGACAGGGCATAGGGGGGCAGTGTGAGTAGTTATTGATACAGGGGTGGGGGCCACAGAGGCTGGGCTGGCCCCTTTCCCTTTGTGCCAGGCGCCATCATAGGGCGGTGGCTGAGATACACTTTCACCATTTTCAATATTGCAAATATTTGCATGGTACACAAACACTTTATGTCCCTCCAAATCTAACTCTTCCTCTATCCATCCATCCTGCTGTATTATCCTGGCCACTCGGTACCAAGCCTCTGCTGCCTTAGTGAGATTATTGTCCTGCAACAACTCTTTCTTGTCCTTCAATAATTTACGCCAGCTCTCCAGTTGTAACCGCCCGCTGGAAGACATAATAATGCCACATATCTTATCGATCTTCCTCACCTTACTCATAGCCTCCTCACCCTCCTGTTCTTTCACAATATCACAAGCCAACCAGCCCTTAGAGGGCTTTGCATGCTCCTGCCCCATTCTCACTAAACAAGTCATCACTTGATAGAGATAAACAGGAAGAAGGAACGTCGACAGTGCTCGACTGCCACGAGATGGTTAATCTACGTGCGTCTTCCCAAAACGTACACTAGTCACTGGGTCCGCCCACCCGAGGTGGCCACGAATTGGAGCGAGGCGAGCAGTGTGTGACTAACACTCCTCCTCCGGATAAAGGATATAGGAGAAAAAGAGGCAGGCAGAGAAAGAGAAGGTGAGAATACCAATGAGGAAGAATCACAAAGACACGTGCAGACACACACGAATCAAGGAGAAACCAAGCCACGCACACACATACAATCAAGTTACAAATAATAAAATCCCAGCTGAGTAACCACCACACTACAGCTAACAATAGAATCTGCATAACCCTGTCCGGGGGACAATAATACAACAATAAAAATGCGGACCCTATCCCCACTGGACAGTACAGCTAACAACAATAAAAAAATGCAATCCCTGTCCCCACCAGACAGTAAAGCTAACAATAATAAAAATGCAATCCCTGTCCCCACCGGACAGTAAAGCTAACAATAATAAAAATGCAATCCCTGCCCCAACCGGACAGTAAAGCTAACAATAATAAAAATGCAATCCCTGTCCCCACCGGACAGTAAAGCTAACAATAATAAAAATGCAATCCCTGTCCCCACCGGACAGTAAAGCTAACAATAATAAAAATGCAATCCCTGTCCCCACCGGACAGTAAAGCTCCCTGTTAATAATGCAACAAATCCTGCTAGTTTCTTTCTCCTCTAGGCAAAATGCATTCACACCCAAGAGGCAGATAATCATTATACAGGTTCTTTATAAAGAGACTCCGGGCAAGCTATTTACCTGTCTTTGGTGCTCTCCGGCAGCCGGCGTAGACACGGAGCCAGGCCAATCACAGGGACAAGAGATATAGGCAAGGTGCTGATGCAATCATTACTGTATATGCAGAGTTGATCAATCTCCGTCTCGTCTCTGGAGGTCTGCTCTCCGGTGCCCTCGAGGACGGCTGACTGTCGGGTCACAGCCACGGAGCCCCACGTTGGGAGCCAAATTGTTGTGGATCAAATCAAGTGTTCGAATATTTGAATATCTGTCCCTGTCGAAATTGTTTAAAATAAATGCGTGCATGCTCTGAAGTAAATCACACCAGACACAAGTTTGCAGGTTATAAAGGCAAGAATACATCATATGCAAAAATGTAGATAACAGTAAGAATACATCTTTAATTAGTTAGGTGTTAAGATGTTTTATCTAATGCACATCCTACAAGACGGGATTTCACCATCTTCCCGGGATTTTACTCTGGATACAGGCGCCATCTTGTTACACGAGGTAGTTAGTCGAAGGGAGGGGTTGCTCTAGCAGCCATTTTGAGTAAATATTGAATACAGGTATACAGAGTAAATAGACATTTTAGTAAAGCCATTTTTACATCCATAACAAATGTACAGGTTGGGGGAGGTATGACAGGTTATTAATGTACAGGTTAGGGGGGAGGTATGACAGGTTATTAATGTACAGGTTAGGGGGAGGTATGACAGGTTATTAATGTACAGGTTAGGGGGGAGGTATGACAGGTTATTAATGTACAGGTTAGGGGAGAGGTATTACAGGTTATTAATGTACAGGTTAGGGGGGAGGTATGACAGGTTATTAATGTACAGGTTAGGGAGAGTATTACAGGTTAGGGGAGGTATGACAGGTTATTAATAGCACAGAGTTAGGGGTAGATTTATTAATGTGTACGGAGTTAGGGGAGAATTATTACAGGTTATTAATGTACAGGTTAGGGGGATATGACAGGTTATTAATGTACAGGTTAAGGGGAGGTATGACAGGTTATTAATGTACAGGTTGGGGGAGGTATGACAGGTTATTAATGTACAGGTTAGGGGGAGGTATGACAGGTTATTAATGTACAGGTTAGGGGGGAGGTATGGCAGGTTATTAATGTACAGGTTAGGGGGAGGTATGACAGATTATTAATGTACAGGTTAGGGGGGAGGTATGACAGGTTATTAATGTGCAGGTTAAGGGAGGTATTACAGGTTATTAATATACTTGTAACATACAAGATAAACTCTGTGTAGAACATCAGATTTCACTGTATGCTGTGAAGACTGTTATCTTTCTGCCACTGAAGTGCCTGTGAATGATCGACTGCTTAGTTCTGGTTGTAATCTTGTGCTGGGTTTATTTCATTGTTTGTTTGTTTTTTGCTGTAGGAGACATGTATATTGCTACCTAGAGAGTGCTTTGTATTGAAATTTGGGGCAGTTCGATCTCCAGCAGTTTGGTAAGTTTCCATGCAGAATGTCTACGTAACAGAATCCCCATCTTTCTAATGTCCGTATTGTTCTTATTTTTCCCCTTCTATTCTTAGTTTATCCCTTGTCCCTGCTCCTTTTCAATTTCCATGGTAACAGGTATTTGGGTGCAAAAAAAACCAAATAGTGCATGTTCGATTTCACCTTCTGTTCTCACTTTACGGATGTTGTATATTTTGCAGGATCCTTATTTCTCCACGAATCAGATAATACGAGTGATATGACCTTAAGATATTTTTCCATGTTCTCACTATGCTTCGATTCAGCATGTTAACTATTTGTTTATTTTATACTTGACAATTCTTGTTATCGTCTGTTTATTAAATGTGCCACAATTGTGCTTGTCTCAGAGAGGTTTTGTTGGACTGAAGTTTGGATAATGTTGTGTTTTTATGTCCTGACTCCATGATCAGGTCTAAGTATTAGTTCTGTGAGCCTTTATACATTAGGCAATCTATAACTCAACAAGCGATATTGCTGAGTAAATATGGTTGAGATCAGTTCTTTATGGCTGTGTTCTATAAAACTATTTAAATATTTTTGTTCAAACGTTTTGTAAGGGACACTGCACTGCCCAAATACAAAATGTAAAATCACTATTTAGTAGACATACCACCAATGAAAACATGCATACATCTTATTATTCAATTTATTTTTTATTAGAGGTGTATCTAAAAACAGCTTTCAATAGCTGCACATCTCTTGACCGCAGCCTTTTCTAGCCCTGTTCTGTTTTAACACCTCCCAGACATTCTGTGGCTGTCCAATCACAGATTTCCCAATGCAGCTCAATGAGAAGTTTTTACAAGGCAGGTGCTCTGGGCAAGTGATGTCTCTTCAGTTTAGTTAAACCAACCAGGAAATAATATGATCGGTTTTGTGATTAATAGCCAGTGTATCAGACAAAGTTAATTTAGAAAAGTGGCAAATTGTATTGAATTCCCTCAATGCACTCTGGAATTTACCTTTAAATTTGTAAGCTGTACGTGCTGTAAATAACTGCTGTTTTTTTCTTTAAGAATAAAATGGATCGCAAGAGTCTGGCGCAAGAGGTGCGTCGATGGGCAATAGAGGAGATGGGCCTTTCAGCGCAGAAGGCACCAAGCGAGGAGATGCTGCAGAGGTGAGTAGAAGTGGTTTGTGTTGTGTGAGCGTTGTTCACAGCTATTTTGTAATTCTATGTTCTACATTATTGTTTCAGACTCTTCATTGGGCAGTGTGCAGACATATGGAAGTACATTATACGTCACGTCTTCAGCCAAGGGTGAGCTTACCTTCGGCGCCATAGACAAGCGCCTTAATCTGAGATCTAAACAATGTATCTTCTTCCAGGTTATTCATCACTTTACCAGGCATTTAATCATCGCATATTTATTTATCGTTTATAGTTATCTGCTGTAAGACTTCATCAATGTATGTGAGCTTTCTGGCCGTGAGAGAGCGGTGTGCATGTTTTATATGTGAAAAATTTCCAAAGTAAAAATTCTGTTGCATTTATGCATAACAAAGAACAAAACTACAATCTTTCCATGAATGTAACCGTTTTAATATATGAAATGTAATGATGCTTTGTGGGTTGCACAGTGCATTCCCCCTTATCTTAAAAATGTTTGAAATATATAATAATGCATACCAGACTCTGCTAAGGGATTTTATTTATTTTTTTTAAATGAAATTTCTTGTTTTGTTTAAATTTAGGACGGTGAAGAAAATAGAGGGGAATCTGTTGTGGTATCCTTTGATCAACTGCTAATGGTCTTCTGGCATCCATTTCACATAGATAAACTCTTGTTGTTTTAAAACTGGGGCTATTGTGTATTTTTCATTGTCCTCCCTAACCCCACAAAGGTCTGTACCCTAGGATTATATCTGTTCTCTATTGCTGGAATTCCCAGCACATTGTGGAGCAATCAAATAAAAAAAAGATGGTGTTTAAAATAAAATCTATAATGTTCTTAAATAGTGGCTTGCGTGAAATAACCTGGCTGTAAGATGGGGGGGGAGGATTTATTTACATTTAAAATCCGAAGTAAACTTAATAAATGAAAGTAACCCAATATTTAGATATATCCTGCTACATTCCGATGCATGTTCCTCAATCAATAACCGTCTGCTCTTTGTGACATCATCTGTTGCGTCCTTATGTGGACGTGTCTACTGCGTGTGTCCTCTTTCATTCCGGTCAGTACCAGGGCACCAGAGAATTCAAAATGACACACCTACTAGACATGCCCACATAATTGTCACTAGCATTTATTAATATTTTTATATTGGGTGGGGGGAGATGGAGATTGAAAGAAATTTCTTTAATTTTTGGTCTGCTTTTCCCCCACAAAACAAAATAAGTAGATCTGTTGATGAAGTGAATTGGGGGAAAACTAGGGCCAAGAAGATTTGAGATGACTTGAGTCTGCAATTGACTTTCCAGGTGTGGGGTACATGTTCCTGTATTAGATGGCATTGCTTTGTATGACTTCTCCAGTGTTAAATAACCCTCCACTTGTCCTAGTCAGTGTCCAGCCATCTCTTCCTTAACTCTGAGCGCAGGTACCAGCAGCTGCAACAATCAGAGGTAAGTGGTCTTTTGTTTTTGTCCCCCGCACCCACCCCTTTATTCTTTCTGCTTGTTTACCATTAAAGGGGTCTTGTGGTTTAGGATATCTGAACCCAAGGGGTGTCTGCTTGCATGAAGTAAGTGTGTACGGCTTGATGTTTTGTTTTCTCCATGAATTGGTGTGATGGCACAGTGTGGGCTTTTCTTTCTGTAGATAGGACCAGGTTAGTAATAATTAAGTGGTGGGAACACCATCCTGTGACTGTGTGGTTATGTTGTCTCTGAGATTTTTGCAAAGTGGCAATTTGTGTCATCAATGGAAGAGAACTGTGTTAGCGTTTTACCTGCATTGCTTGGTGGTACTAGCGGGTCTTGCTGTGAGTGCTAGGGGTGGCTGTTGATATTGCTGTGCACTCTGTATAATGGGTAGTTTCACCTCCTTCACTGGGAGATTGACCCTGTTTTTATTTTTTCCTGTTTAAAGACACAGAGATCGGCAGAGGAGGAGCAGCGTCAGCGCAGGAAGCAGCTTTGCCAGCAGATACTGGATCTTCGCTCAGAGCTGCAACATCTGCAGGAGCAAATTCGCTGCTCAGAGCAGGAGATCGCCTGCTGCAGTGAGCACATTCTTGTTTCGGGGCAGAGTCATAATAAATAATATAAGTTCTAGAAGGTTTTTTTTTTTTTTTTTTAAAGGGCCATTGTAGGCACTGTAACTGCTTATCTTAATGTAGTGGTTGTTTCTGCAGTGATATTTTACTATTTGTTTGGTTCAGAGTTATGCTGTTATCAATGGTTTAATGATGAATAAAAGTCTCCATCACCTATCCCCGCTTTGCTGGGATAATGAGGCAGCAATGGGCATCTGTGATTGGAAGAGAGTGTCAGCTGACTTCCTTTCAGCCTATCACAGTACCCATTGCTGGTAAAAATTGGTATGACAAAGGAATTGTTTAATCTCTGCTTTATCAAGTGGGGCAGAGTTATGGGAAGTGTTAAACTGTTCGAAACTAATTTAGCACTGAATGGAGGGACAGCTCCAGGGGACTCCAGGCACAATCACCATTTAAATGAGAAAAAATGGTTAAAGTGCCTACAGTGTTCCTTTAAACTCCAAATGTCATGGCACTTTGCAGGAGATTAAAATGTTTATTTATTTTTTCAGATTTGAGTAGTGAGCGTTCCCAGGATATTTGTCGCCGGGCAATGCTGCTACACGCTTTCAAAGAAAAGAAAGACATTGAAATCGACTTCTTTAACAGCAGCTTTTTCCCATTACTAGTCCGCAATACGCACCTGCAGAACGTCAGCCGGTGAGAAAACCACCCAATATAACTAGCTGTAACCTGACATGTTTTCCACTTTAAAGGGACATGCATCACTTTGAGAAAACTTTCAAAAGCTGCAGGCTAAACAAAAAAAGCAGACAAATATATTTACCTGCTTCTTCTTTCTTATGTTTTCCACACCCACTCCGGGGGGACTGACCAGTCAGTGTCCTATCCCTAGGAATGCTGTATAAGTGCAATGGGCATGGCTGACAGATTTACACATGTGCAGTTGGGAGATTTCTTCACCTTCTAACATCCTGACAGAGGGAGAAGAGAATGGCGTTTGATCAGCGTGATCATGCAGAGCAGGTTCTGGTGTTGGTTTCTGTCTCCTGCTGCTGCACAATGATCACCTGTTTCTGTCATTAGTGGGCTGGGATGGGGATAAGCAGAAGGAAAGGTGTAGAGCAGGGACAGGCAACCTTCAGCACTCCAAATGTTGTGGACTACATCCCCATAATGCTGGCAAAGCAACATGGAAGGTGAAGTCCAAAACATCCAGAGTGCCGAAGGTTGCCTATGCCTGGTCTAGAGCAAAGAAACGTCCTTGATAAGAGGCGTGCCCAATAAGTTGGTTCCAAGACAACTTGTCACAGACTTTTCAAATACTTTAAAGACACAGTGAAAAAAGATAGCGGGTCTTTTAAGACATGAGCCACACGATAAAAAGTGTAAAAGGCCGAATTCTTCATCACATTCAGACCTCTCCTCCGGAGAATGTTCCAGCTCTTCTTTCTCAGAACGCTGTAGCCTAGAGTCCAGTGTGGACAAAGGTTTTCCGGCACAGGAATTAGAGGTTTATTAAGGAAGTGTCTGCTGTGGTTCAGGATGTGGAACCCTCAAGCAGTAAAGTGAATGTTTTCCCACAGATCCCAGAGTTCTGGAAAAACACAGAGAGACAAGCTTTTATTTCCAAACTTTTTTAAACAAATCTTCAGGCTACAGACCGAAGATAGATGGGAAGATCTCCCTGAGGTGGATATACAGGTGACAGTTGCCCAAGAAAACGACTATTCCTATAGAAGTTTCGGATCTAAAAGAACCCACGGACAAGTGTGCAGAGATTTCCTGTACATGGGCATACCAGGTGGCTGGCTACCAATGCAAAACGGCTATTGCAGGGGCAGCGGTAGTTGAAGCTCAAAATCTCTGGCTCCAGTCCTTAGATTTGATTGTGGATAATACAAATAAGGACCTGTCTCATTTATTCGACCATATGCGGTTCTCAAATGATTTTTTTTGCAGTCTATGACTGCAGAGATGTTAAACCTGTCAGCCCGCATCATGGCTTTATCTTCAGTAGCCCGCAGGGCTTTATGGCTGAGAACATGGACGGCAGACACGGCTTCAATAGCTGTTTTATGTGAACTGCCTTTTGAGAGGAATAAATTATTTGGTTCCCAACTCATAAAGCAGATCGCGGACACCAAAAAAGCTCTCCCACAAGATCACAGGGTGTCTGGAGATAACAGATGCAGAAGATTTTAAAAAACCGAGGTCAGAGGCCTTTTTCGTGGCCAAGACAACTACAGGAAATTTTGTAGACCTTTCAGAGCGGTCAAAAGAGAGTTCTTCTACAAACAAGATGAGAAAAAGAGATCTTTATGCCAGAAGAGTAGGGGATCAGCTCAGATTCTTCATTCCTCACTGGCAAGAAACAACTTCAAATCAGTGGATATTGAAGACCATGGAGGAGGGTTACAGAATAAAATTCTCCAAAGATCCTGTCCCGGAATTTCTGGTATCAACTTGCCAGTCAAAAGAAAAATCAGCAAGTCTGACCCTACCAGTAGAGAAACAAAAAAGAATCAGGAAGGAAGTTACCATACTACAGAAGACATTCATGCTCCATAAGAGAGGCTATGAGCGTTTTTAGGCCTTCTTACCTCTACCATTCCCGCTGTGCAATGGGCAAGTTACAAAATCAGACCCTTACAGTGGACATGGTCGAAAAGGGAGAAAGATTTAGATTCAGCAATCAGTCCATCATCCAGGGTAAAGACACAGCTGCAGTGGTGGAAGAAATCAAGATTTTTAGACATCGGTCTACCCTTTCCACAGACAAATTGGATCGTCATTACCATGTACGTATAGATAACAGGCTGGGGGGCACATCTAAATTTCAGCAGAGGATATGGTCTATGGAAGAAGCTGCCCAGTCCTCAAATTTCAGAGAGATGAAATCTGTTTGGAATGCCCTTGTAGCTTTCAAACCACTTCTAAGGGAAACGTCTGTGAGGATTGAGTTAGACAATGTCTCCACTGTTGCATACCTACAGACAAGGCAGTACGAAGGTGTTTAATCTCCAGTCTCTTTGTTCAGAAAATCATGGTCTCAGGAATATCTAGAATCAATCTCAGCAACGTACATCAAGGGATCCGACAATAAAACTGCGGACAATCTAAGCCAACAGCGTTTAATACAGTCGGACTGGTCTCTTCACCCTCTCGTCTTTGCGAAGCTGGTCAAGCACTTTGTTCTACCAGATATCGATCTAATGGCCACAAGAAGAAATACGAAGGTTAAAAACTTGCTTCCATTCGGAGAGCTAATCCTCACATCCTGGACGGGTTTTCAATGCCATGGAGGTTCAGCATGGAGTATCTTTTTCCCCCAGTAGCTTTAAGTGGGGACCAGGATCTTGGCGATTTATTACAAATTTTTTTTATTTTTAAAAAAAAATCAAACAGGAGCTGGTTCTCAGAGATCAATCAGATGGCATTAGATCATTGGGAACTCCCTTGTTTTGAGCAACCTTCTGGAAAAAAAACAAATCTTCTGGTGGAGACCATAAAGATGTTCCGACTGACGGCATGGTTGCTGCAAGGATGATCCTTAAAGCCCAGGGCGTGTCTGACAGTATTAGTAATATTCTGCTGTCTATCTGTGTTCGTTCGTTTTTGTTTATTACAAGGAGGGAGCTACTGGCGTGCAGCTCCCTCCTTGTAATATGTAAAAATAGAAGCGTCGGGGAGCTGTGCTCCCTGGTCATCCCTCACTATATGGGGGTCCGTATGGCATAAAAGAGATTGAAATTTCCCGAATGCCCCTACCCCCTAGCCTGTGGCTGTTTACTGATGTAAAAATCTATAAATAGTGAGCCTTACAGGTAATCAGGTAATGCTCACTATTTACCTATCAGAGCACTCTGATTGGATGGCTTAAACCAACCAGAGCGCTTGGAGTCAAATTGCAGGGGGTGGGAAGGCTTTTTAAGACTTTTCCCGCCCTGCAGAGCTCAATCTGCGTGGTGCCCTCACTGGGTGTCGATGGATTATTTTTTTTGTGTGTTGGGATTTATTTTTCTTTCAGCAAATTTATATATTTTTTGGGCCTGGAAAAAAAGACTTCAAATGGTAAGCATTTATTTACAGGTATTTAGTTTTTGTCTTTCCCTCCGCCAACCTCACTATATTTAGGGTGAGGGGGGTAGTTAGGGCTTAATTTTTATTTTATTTTTTTTGGGTGGGAGGTGACTAGGGCTTGGGGACCTCTAGTTACCTGGGGGGGAGGACAATAGGTGATTTTTGCCTTCCCCTCCATTGTCTTTTAGGGTCCTGACCCGCCGCTCATGGGCCAAGGGCTCCCCCGTTTAGTTGAACAGCCCCTGCTCGGGGGGAGGGGGGGGGGAATATGTCCCCTCTGCTAGTTAATAGATGCCCTACAATGGGGCCATTTATTGGGAGGGGGGAGGTGCTTTATTTATTTTTTACAACGTGAGCAGCCCCAAAAAAGGCCAAATAAAAATCAATAAAAAAGAACGCAAGAAGGAAAAATAAATCCTAAAGCTAAAAAATTATCTATCTACACCCAGCGAGGGCACCACGCAGTCTGAGCTCCACAGGGCGAGGAAAGGCTTATAAAGCCTTCCCACCCCCTGCAATTTGACTCGGAGCGCTCTGGTTGGTTTAAGCCATCCAATCAAAGTGCTCTGATAGGTAAATAGTGAGCATTGCCTGATTGATTACCTGCAAGGCTCACTATTTATTTATAGATTTTTTTTTTTATTTTTTTTTTAATTTTACATCAGTAAACAGCCACAGGCTGCTCACTGTTTAGTATACATGCCCCTATTGTATAGCGAGTAGGGGCAGATTATTTACTAATACTAAGTAATCTTTACTTCGTATTAGTAAAGTTGGCTGAAAGACCGATTTTAGGTCTTCCAGCCTTTTGGTAGATAGCTCCCTAATTCCCACAGTATTAGGGAGCTATCTACTAAGCAGCTGCAAGATTCAGCTACAGCACTAATCAGAATTCCATTCATTCTAATATAATTTTGAACTGAACTAAAAGTACTGAATGTTGTCTTAACATGAATGAACAAACTGTTCTCATTCTGTTAGGTCGGTAGTTTCGCGAGATCACGTAGGAAAGGGTGAGTATTGCGGGAAAACTTCGGACCCATAGGAAGTGGGTCAGAGCGGTCCCTACTTTGTCTTATGTTTTAAAGAAAACTAGATAGGAAGAAATAAAGAACAGATCCCGAGAGGAGAGAAAAGGAATTGTTTGGGGAAAGGTAAGTTCCGCATGGCAGTGCCGCTTTAATATATTTGTTTTAAAGTATCATCAAGTCAAGTGATGCATGTCCCTTTAATTGGGTTTTAACTTCACATTCTGTAGCTGCTCTGTTCATACTGTTTAGGTTTCTTTGTTTTTAGGAATAAATTGGAGTGTCATTATATTGAAAGTGTGTAATTCATTCTGCATGGCAAGGAGCAAACTTTGGATTAGGCTTTATTGCAGCTCCCACTTTCTCAGTTAAAGGGGTCGGAGCTGTTGGCTGGACACTGTGAGGTTTGAAGTTTGTGGCCGTACAGAGCTCCGTAAAATGAAGTTGTGCAAAGTATTGTTTGTTTTTTTTTTTCGGCAGATCATCTCAGAGACCCGTGCATTTTGGCCCAGCCGATGGTGGGGAAGAGAACAATTTCCACCTGGAGTCTGGAGTCCTGGTATGAATCTATCTATATATCTGTCTATGTATAATATGTCTGTCTATCCACACATACCAATTTTCACTGTAACTGTTTGTACCAGAAAGAAGTGCGAGAAACCTGCAATGGCCGGTTTGCCTTCCTGCGCTCTGTTCATGGCGATGCTCTCAGAAATTCAATATTGTGAGTGTTAATTCTCTCTATTGTCTCTTGCTTTTGTCTTTATCCCTTTCATTGATCTAACCATCATGTCTGCCCTCAGAGACCGAGAACATGCACTTGACGAGGCACATGAGGTGTGGAAGAGTGAATCACAGGTGAGTGCAGTCAGGGCTGACATCAGAAATGTTTTGAGTCCCAGCAGTTAGTGTCCCATTAAAGATGCAGGTTTGGTGTATAGATCATGGCCCCTGCAGCGTCACCACTCAGTCCTGACATTTAGTAGTTTAAATCACTTTTTTCGGCAGCCCTAGTCACACCTCTCTCCTGGCTATGATTCACACAGCTTTCTTACATACTTCCTGAAAGTCTATATTTTAGCTTTCCTAATTGCACAGTGTTTAAGTGTGTCTTATCTAACGCTCTGTTAATCGCATGCTAGCACCTGCAACATCACCCTATGTGTAATTAACGTTCAATTAACACAGTAGGAGTTAATAACTTCTAAAGTTAACACACTGTGTTGTAAGATCTGATTGAAAAATCAAACCTTTTTTAGTATGCAAGCGGTGTCAGTCACAGCCAGGGGAGGTGTGCATCTATACGCTAAAACTTTGGTGAAGGAAACAAATTTCTTATAGTTTTTCTTATTCAAAAGGTATTTATTGTAAATTTACAGAAAGTATGGTGCACACGTGCCCCCAATCATGTCCTGGCAGCTCTAAAACACTATGCTGTAGAAACCACTAATGATCTCCGGAAACTCCAGAAATCGTCTGCACGTCCTACACTTGTCGTTCATGTTTCCATCCCAAATAATGAGGACGATGACGACGACGATGAGGTTAACGATGATGATGTTCAGGCGGTAAAAGATTTTTTGAAAGGATGTCAACAGACCAGGTGGATTCATATTATCTTATTGTTTGTTTTTTGATGCCTGCCAATGGCCCCACTCAAAAAAAATAATAATAATAAAATGTAGTTGTATTAGTATTTGAATATGTAAGCAATCTTATGGTAAATAGTTCATAAATTTTATATGGCCCCTGGCAATTGCACCTATCGGCAGCTAACTTCGGCTGTATAATACGGAAAAGGGTCTAATCCATCTCTTCTATTCTCTCTCTCCCTATTACCTCTCTTGCACAGACAAGAAAACCTACCTTCCTTCCAACGACTATTACAAGTAAGCCTTAGGAGTTTTGTTTATTTACATCGTTTTATAATAAATCCATGTTTTTAGAGGTCACTCCCTTCCCCAGCATGCTAACATTGTGTTGTCGCACCTTTTTTTTCTTTTAGACTTTTTTTATAATTTTGCTGAAACTCCCAAAATAGTTTATACGTAGACCTCATCTTTTTGACAGCCATCTTACTGTTCTTGATGTGTTTGTTCTGTGCCCACAGGAAGGATGGGAAGACTGTGCTAGGGTCACGTCGGACTTGCACCTCGTTCAACATCGTATTGAGAATCTGTCTGAGAGCTTGTCATCTGTGATACAAGAGATACACAAACACCTGTCTGAAGGCGGTGAAATCACTGCTCTTACCAGGTACACAGGAGAAGCGTCCTCTGGCACCCTATTTAAATATATAACCCATAAGATGGGGAAAGATAGAAGGGAATTTTCAGGTTTTTTTCCCTCCAGATTAGATGCGGTGCACTACAACAGGGATTTCCTCTGTGGATCAGAAAGGCAGACATGCAACACATTTTTAATCCTGTAGACTCCTCCTCCTCCTATAGGTATAAAACCACCTGGAACCCCAAAACCCCAGTTCTCTGCGTGCCTTCGGCAGGGTAGGATGCACTTTACTTGGACATGGTGAGTTGGTAGATTCCAGGTAAGGCTCTGTCCTTAGGTGTCCTCTGGGCAAATTCTGTCCCTTCTTTTTTTTTTTTTTTGTGTGGTGGAACGCAAGCTTGGGTGCCAGCGTTCCACAGGGTTTTATACCGCCGAGTGTGGTGCCAGAAATGGCGAAGGTGTGCATGCTGGAAAGCATCGCATAGGTTTCGTTCCATCTAGAGATCACAGAGCGCTCTGCGCACGTGCGAAGCAATCTCTTATAAATCAAGCACGAAAATTTTAAAAACTTGCATTCTAGGACCTGAGAACTACATTACCCAGCAGCAACTCCCTGCTTGCCAGGTGCTCGCATTCCTGTTACAATGTGCTCTCACCTGCCCTCAGCACATTCAAGGCCATTAAGGTAAAACTGCTTTTCTCCTTAATGTTTCTTGCCTGATTCAATTTCTATTTTATTATAGATTATAATAAATTAAAAAAAAAAATGTTTTTCTTTTCTCTTCCACTATGTCTAACTTAGAGCAGACAGATAAACCTGGAGAAAAATTTGATGTGTGCAACTTGTTCACAGCCTTTCACAGACGGCTACAAAAAGAAAACATGTGGTAATTGCTATATAGATGCTTCAGAGGAAGCTAAAAAGACGGAGGTTTTGTCTCTCGTGTCATGGTTCCAGAATAGCCTGCAGCAAACTTTGGTGCCGTTAAAAGAAGCTGCTCTGTTATCAGCCCAGTCTGCCATTCAGTCCAACCATAAGAAAAGAGCCAAACCAGGTTTTCCTCCATCTAAAAGGAAGAAGTCGGGTTGGGAAATTCCGGAAATGAGCTCTGAATCATCTTCTGATGAGTAGAGTAATCTTCCAAAGATTCCAGTGCTTCCTCTGGCTAGGAATACTGCTTTCAGGAACAGTATCTATCTGCATAAACTTCAAGGAAGTCTATATCCTCATGGATTTGGAGACTTCTCCTTAAGGTTTGCAGGAAAAGAGAAAGCTTAAGTATTTTCCTATTCACCCTTCTGTACAGCAGTTGATGCTTAGAAACTGGAGACTGGCCAAGAAAGCTTTTAGTATCCAAGCATTTAAACATACCTGATAAGCAACCAGAGACCATTCCTAAAGTGGATATACCAATAGGTTAACAAATTTAAACCTATTTAGTTTAGAAAAACGTCGCCTGAGAGGGGATATGATAACATTATACAAATATATTCGGGGCCAATACAAACCATTGTGTGGAAATCTATTCACAAACCGGACTTTACATGGGACACGAGGCCATGCGTTTAGACTGGAAGAAAGAAGATTTCGTCTAAGGCAAAGGAAAGGTTTTTTTACTGTAAGAACAATCAGGATGTGGAATTCTCTGCCTGAGGAAGTGGTTTTATCAGAGTCCATACAGATGTTCAAACGGCTACTAGATGCATACTTGCAAGAACAGAATATTCAAGGATATAATCTTTCAATGTAGGGTAATAACTGCTTGATCCAAGGATAAATCTGACTGCCATTCTGGGGTCAAGAAGGAATTTTTTTCCTAGCTTGTTGCAAAATTGTGCTTCAAACTGGGTTTTTTTGCCTTCTTTTGGATCAACAGCAAAAAACAAATGTGAGGAAGGCTGAACTTGATGGACGCAAGTCTCTTTTCAGCTATGTAACTATGTAACTATGTAATAGCATAGCTGCCTATTGGGGATTCCAGTGGGTTCCAGGATTCGATAGACAAACGAGCAGAATCTAACTTAAAGAAGCTTTATTCCACTGCAGTAGCCCAGAGTAAGGCTCTCATTTCAGGTTGTTCAAGTAGCCAAAGCTCAAAGATGTTGGCTGGATACTTTGGAGAACGTTTATATGGGTGAATCCAGAGATCCTGTTTTTTGGGGTTTTTTTTTTTACTTTTGAGGTACGTGAAGATGGCTGGGAAATTTTTGGCTGACTCTTCATCAGAAGCAGGGACATTTTAAGCACAAATGATGGGGCTCTCTAATGTCACCAGGTGTGCAGGATGGCTCAGAAGTTGGTCAGCTGACAATGCTTCTAAAAATTCATTGTGTGATTTCCCCTATGAACAAGGTACATTCTTCAACAAAAACAGATGTTCTTACAAAGGTTCCTTTCATAGGTTCTCCTATAAGAAGAATCAAAGGCCATTTTCCTTTCAGGATAAGGGAAAGAGGATCTTTCTAGGGAAAAAAAAAAGATTATGACTCCATTCCAGTAGATGGCAGACTTCTGTTATTCAAAGCAGTATGGCAGCAGACAGTTGGGTCTGGTCAGGGGTTTAAAGAGGTTACAGTATACAACTTCTCAAATTTCCTCCTTTGTTCAACAATACATTCCCCAGATATTGCTTCCGTTCTTCTCCAAGAGGTCTTATGGCAGAAAAAATGTGATAGAAATTTTACCAAAAGGAGAAGAATTCAAAGGTCCTTATTCAAGAATATTTTTGATAAATAGCCAGATGGTACTTTTTATCCAATTCTAGATTTAAATTTCATAAACCGGTTCATGCTACATAAAATATTTCGCATGGAAAACCTCTTCTCTGCATCACATAATTCGACCGGGTTCATGGCTATGTTCCATCTATATGCAAGATGCCTATCTGCACATACCCATAGCAGCAAACGGCAGAAGGTTTTTAAGATTTGCCATACAAGATCAGGATCAGCTTCTGCATTTCCATTTCAGGGCCTTGACTTTAGCCTTCAGCTCCAAGACTCTTTTCCAAGTTACTCGTGGTTATAACATCAGAATTGCGGAAAAAAGGTCTTCACATCATACCGTACCTGGATGACTGGTTACTCCTAGTGTCTTCAGAGCTACAACTCTTAAAAGACATCAGGAAGGCTACCATCACCTTCCAAAAACATGGTTGGATTATAAACAAGGACCAGTCCGCATTAACCCCATCTCGTTCTATCCTTTTTCTGGGTCTCATTTTAGACTCTATTCAAATGAAGAATTTCCTTCCAGAGGAGACAATAAACAAAATAAAGGTCACTATTATCAGCTCACTGTTGTAGTGCACTGCCTCTAATCTGGAGGGAAAAGTTTGAATTTTTCTTACTGTAAATGTCTTTTTTCTTAAGATTCGAGGCAGTGCACATACTTCTCACCCTATTTATTAAAGGTATTTTTTTCAGTTATTTTGGCTTTTGTATTTTCTGGGGTTTTGGGGGTTTCAGGTGGTTTTTATACGTATAGGAGGAGTCTACAGGATTCAAAGTTGGTTGGTTGCCTGCCTGCTTTTCCGATCCAGATTAGAGGAAATCCCTGTTTTAGTACACTGCTTCTAATCATACGGAAAAATACATTTATGGTAAGTAAAATTAGAACTTTGTTAGACTTTCTACTACTAATGCTGCTAACAAGAAATGCCTTAAAATTGTGTTCTTTGTGATTGTGGGTCGTGCTTTGTGTCTAATATTTAAGAAGTTTGTGTGTGTTTTTTTTTGTTTTTTGTTTTTTTTTAACCTATTCTCTTTTCGAATTTCCAAAGAACTGCATTTGACACAGAGCTCCGGGCTGTCCTTCTTCGTGGCTACCGAGATGGCCTTTTGGGTGAATGTAGGGAGCTTCAGGAAACAGTCATAGAGAAGAAGAATGAAGCAAATGTCGTACAGAACAAGAAGAGGGAAGTGGAGGAGCAAAGCCAGCTGCTGGTCCGTAAACTATTGCAATTGGCTAACTGAGCACAATGTACTCATGATATCTGCCGATGAAAGTAGCCTGTTTTTCTTTGTGTCTGCAGGAAAAGAAGCAAGCGTATCTCCAGTCTCTGATTAAAGAAAACTCTAATGCTAGAGCCCACATAAAGCGTATGCATCAGGAGGTAAGAAAACTGTGAGCATGAGGGCTCCTAAAACCTGGTTCATAGAAGCCAAGCCAGTTTAAGTAATGTGTTTAGAATTCTAGAAACCATTTGATGTTTAGTAAATTAAGCAGAAATGGCAGATTAGATGGATTTGCTGCAAACACTGCATTGTATTTGTGGAGATTTAGCTATGTTATTGTGTTACCAAAGTGAATCACCCTTTGTTCATTTATTTTATTTCTTTTTCCTTACTGACTTGACTTTATGATGGAAATCTTAGTTTCCCACGTTGACCGAAGTGATTTATGTGGCAGTGAATATTGTAGCTCTCTGTACTGACCAGCAGAGGGCACTGACAAACTGAAATCAGGCTATGTACCTGTTGGAATGCAGTCCCTGTCCACTGCAATGATCATCCACTGACACCAAACCAGTAATTGATTTGATCTATACCTTTAACTCAGACTAGATTAGTTATTGTGGAGGCTTCATGTTTTATGCTTTCTTAACCTCTAACATAGTGTCATTTTATAATAATGTCTGTTTTCTTGCTCCATAAGGTGCGTCTCTTTATCCAGAACAAGTTGTGTCCCTTCCCTCAGCAGCTTGTCCATGAAACGGAGCGGCTGCGCGATTACATAAGCAAAGAGCTGAAACACTTCTCTGCGATCTTCCTGCCGTCTTTCCAGAGGGTGTCAGTTGAGGGGTAATGTCCTTGCAGCCTAATAATTAGACAGGGTTCTTATTACCCTGGGGCAAAATGTATTTAAAAAATAAATAACATGAGTGTGGAATTGGTGTAAATCACTCTCTAAGGATTTGTTGTAAAAATTCCCTCCCTCCCTCCCTTTTTTTTAAATTTTTTTATTTTTTTATTTTTTTTTTTAAATAAGGTACATTTTTCACTTTTATAATCTGAACTTTCATCAGGCCCTGCTTATAAAACTGAAGCTTATTTTGTTTTGTTTTCTTTTTTATTCACTCATTAAAAAAAAAAGTTGTTTAATTTTTTACAGCAAATCCTTACAGTGCCTTCTCTACATAAATTCTGCATTATTACTGTCTAGCAGCATGCACAACATTTTTGCTTCAGGAGTGCGTGTGTGTATAATATTTAAATTTCGTGGTGTCCCTGCAGGGAAGAGGGTTTGGGGTTTTTAGAGCACTGGACAGATTTTGCGCTTGGGTACAATTTTTGCGCTTGTGAGGGGCAAGCGCAGAACAGAGGAGCTATGTAATATTGATAAAAATTCAAAAAAAGTACAAATGACTCATGATATTAAATGTATGCTTACTAATGCAAGGAGCCTATATAACAAAATGGGGGAACTAGAGGCAATAGCATACACTAAACAATATGATATAATAGGCATAACAGAAACATGGTGGGATGAGACACATGACTGGGCAGTTAACTTAAATGGGTACACGTTATTTAGGAAGGATAGGAAAAACAAGAAGGGTGGTGGGGTATGTTTATATGTCAACCATGAGTTAAAGCAAAATCTTAGGCACGTGGAGTATGACGAGGAAAATGTGGAAGCTTTATGGGTAAAAATCTGCTTGGGGCAAACAAAGGGAAATCAATTATTGGTTGGGATATGTTATAAACCACCTAATGTAAATATTAATGTGGAAGAACAGCTGTTAGAGCAAATTGGAAATGCTGCAAATCGGCGTAACACATTAATTATTGGAGATTTTAATTACCCGGACATAAATTGGGATAGAGGAACTAGTATTTCAGCAAAGGGACTCAGGTTTTTGAATGTGTTAAATTACACCTTCATATCACAACTGGTACAAGCACCAACTAGAAAGGATGCTTGTCTGGATCTCATCATAACAAACAATGTTGATCTTTTGACCAACATTCAAGTAGGGGGGAGCATTTGGGAAATAGTGATCACAATGTGGTAATTTTTGAAATAAACTCAAAAAAGCAAAAGCCTGTGGGGTATACGAAAATGTCTAATTCTTAAAAAGCCAATTTCAATAAGATTCGGACAGCTCTGCAACAGATCGTCTGGCATAAACTCCTTATTGAAAAAAACACTGAGGATAAATGGAAAATCTTCCAACAAATATTAGAAAGGAACATTTCTCAGTATCTACCACTGGGTAATAAATATAAAAGCTTAGTAGAGAAGTAAAACAAGAGAATAAGAAAAGGGCATTTAAATCAGATAAATCAGAGGCATCCTATGATAAATGGAAGCCAATAATACTTGCAAAAAGGCAATTAAAGTGGCTAAACTAGAAAATGCGAAATTGATTGCAAAAGAATGCAAAAGCTATGAGCCAGGAGGCTGTTCGTTTGTTAATTCACTTTTATGGCTTTTTCGAAATTGACCGACCGCACACACTGAACTCATGGAACTATTTTGGGCAGGAGCCTCGTGTGCGGTCGGTGACTTAAGACTTCCACGCTTTTTGAGAACCCCTGAACCGTTCTGGGTGAAATTTGAATATGTTGGTCTCTCAGATCGGGGCTATCAGGGGACATGTCATTTGTGGGGATACCTTGTGTGTAAAGGGGTGTTCCAAGTTTTGGGGAAATTGTGTGTCCTTTGCCTGGAGTTATTCCTTATCTCATTATCTCCCAGGCAGAGGAAGGGAGGGTTTTACTGTAAATCTGTATTATGATTGGTTGTCACTTTTTACTGTAGGAGGATTTCAATAAAAGCCAGTGTGGCACCAATAAAACATTATTCCTGTTGTACCTTCATGAAGTCTAGGCTCATGCTTGGGTAACCTTTTATTTGCTGGGGAGATTTATCTTGGAAATTGCATTAATCTTTACTGTTCCTCTACACCCTAGCTGCAGCTATAATCACTTATGCTCAGCAATTGGAAAGGGAATAGGCGAACTCCGTACCATAACCACTGATGTTCGTAACATACATCAATTCTAGAAAAACTAAAAATTAAAGTGTGGAAACTCTGGAAACAGAGATGGGTCTGTTCATTAATGAAGACCAGGAAAAGGCAGAAAAAAAAAAAAATGTTTCTTCAGTATCTATTGAGGATCCTATGGTAAGAGATATGCAAATGATAGCTGTAAAAAACATGCAGATAACTTGTGATTGGATAACTCGAGACAAGGTGCTACACCAGTTAAAGAAAATTAATGTAAATAATGCTCCGGGGTCTGACGGTATTCACCCACGAGTACTTAAGGAGCTAAGTGGGGAAATAAGTGAACCTCCTGTATTTAATCTTTCAAGATTCTTTTGTTTCAGGTATTGTACCGGAGGATTGGAGGAAGGCAGATGTTGTTCCTATATTTTAACCCCTTAAGGACACAACTTCAGAAATAAAAGGGAATCATGACGGAATATTTCCGTTGTGTGTCCTTAAGGGGTTAAAAGGATTCAAAATCCTTGCCTGGAAATTATAGATCTGTGAGCTTAACTTCTGTTACTGGGAAAATATTTGAAGGGATATTCAGAAATTCATTGGGAAGAACTTTATTAGCAATAATCAGCATGGTTTTACGAAACATAGGTCATGTCAAACTAACCTAATTGCATTCTACGAAGAAGTAAATAGAAGTATAGATCAGGTTGTTGCAATAGATGTGATCTACTTGGATTTTGCCAAGGCATTTTATACGGTTCCTCACAATAGGTTAATTTTCAAACTAAAAGAAATTGGTCTAGATGAATATTCTTCTTCTTGGGTAGAACATTGGCTTAACGATAGAGAACGAGTTGTCATTAATGATAAATTTTCAAGCTGGACAAAAGTGGTAAGTGGTGTCCCTCGGTTTTGTTTTGGGACGGCTTCTATTTAACATGTTTATAAATGATCTTGAAATAGGCATTAAAAAGCCATGTTTCAGTGTTTGCAGATGACACAAAACATAATAAAATGTGAGCAGGATATTGCTTTGCTGCAGAGGGATTTATATAGATTTGGGGACTGGGCACGAAAATGCCAGATGAAATTTAATGTAGAGAAATGCAAAGTTATGCACTTCGAGGTCAAGAATGCACAAGCAACTTACATCCTAAATGTAGGGGTAACCACACACGAGAAGGATTTGTGAATTGTTATAGACAACAAATTAGGCAGCAATATGCCATGTCAATCTGCAGTTGCTAAGGCCAGTAAGATTTTGTCATGTATAAACAGGGGCATAAATTCTCGGGATGAAAATATAATTTTGCCTCTTTATAAATCGCTGGTAAAACCACACCTTGAATATGCTGTGCAATTTTAGGCACTTGTTCTAAAGAAGGATATCATGGCACTAGAAAAAGTGCAGAGACAAGTTACAAAATTGATAAAAGGAATGGAGCATTTTAGTTAAGAAAGGTAAAAAAAAAATTAAATCTCTTTAGTTGGGAGGGAAAAGGGCGCCTCAGAGGGGATATGATAATATTACAAATATATTCTGGGCCAGTACAAACCATTATCTGGAAATCTATTCATAAACCGGGCTATACATAGGACACGAGGTCACACATTTAGGCTGGAAGAATAGAGATTTAATCTAAGGCAAAGAAAAGGGGTTTTTTTTTGTTTGTTTTTTTAAAGGTAAGAGAAATAAGGATATGGAATTATCTGCCTGAAGAGGTGGTTTTATCAGTCCATACAGATGTTTAAACAGAAACTGGATAAATACTTCCAAAAACATAACATACAGGGATATAATTAGTGGGGTAGTAGCTGCTTCATCCAAGGAGACTGCTATTTTGGGGTCTAGAAGGAATTTTTTCCTAGTTTGTTGCAAAATTGGAAGTGCTACAGACTTTTTTTATTTTTTTTTGCCTTCTTTGGGATCAACAGCAAAAACATGTGAGGAAGTGAACTTGATGTTCACAAGCCTCTTTTTAGCTATGTAACTATGGTGTCTTGTAAGTTGTTTGCAGTACTTTCATGCTGTGTGGACTTGTAGATCAGCCTGTGGTTGGAAGTTCCCTGTTGTGTTTATAAAACCAGATGTGCAGGATTGGGGGATATTGTAGAGCCCCGAGCTGCCTGATGATACCAGCCTCTAAATGCCAACTCCTTGTATGGAAGGGTCTTTTCCAGTAAACTCCCAACTCGATTATCTGAAGTGGTCTTTAATGTTCCTATATCAGAAATAATTGTCTGGCTCATTGAACAGCTGCAAACCCTAAATAAGCAGGTCGTTCCATACTGCATGAAATTTGAGGTGATTATATAATGAAAAGTGAACAATTCATATTCTGTGGCATTTTTATTAACACACATTGTTTTGCTTTTTGTCTTCAGTGGAAACCAGGTTCCATTGCACGAACTCTCCATTAACCGTCTGTCCAATATGCGGGGTCCTTATTATGGCGTCTACAAGGGACTCTACAACAGCATGGGGCTTTCTCTTTACAGAGTGAGTTGCCGACCACAGGTGTTCTGTGGCTCGTTTGTGATGGTGAACCTACATTGTTGTCTTCTGGAGGTGGCCCTCTTTTAATTCTTGCTTCCTCTTTCAAGGCCCCAGAGTGTCTTCTAAATGTTGTAGCTGATCTAAAGAAGAATCTCTTTTTTATGCACACTCAACTAGCCACCCGCAACAAAGCCATTCAAAACTTGCAGCAACTTTCAAATGACCGACAGAATTCTGACTCTGAGGGTAAGCAAATCGGAAATACCATTTTTGTGTGTGTCCTGGCTGGTAGCAGTGTTCAAAATTAAGCCCTTGTTTCCATGATTTCAATCAAGTATCCCAGAATTCCCAGCTTGAACTGAGCAGACCGGAATCGTGTTTCAGACTTCATACTGCTTCATTTCTTGTACGATCTCTTTAAAATACTCTGAATGTGCTTAGAAATTATTCTATAAGAAGATATGTTGGTCATATTCTAAATTACCATTTATGTAAACAAGAAAACAAGCCCTGAAGTTAACAAAAAATGTTTGAGAATAGCCTCACTCCTGGCCATACCCCCAGTCACATTCTAAAGTAAGAAATGGCCCTCTTTGGCTATTCGTCATTGGAAGCTATAGAATGGCACACACAATACAATAATTTCAGTGAATTTCTGGGGGGATTTAAAAAACAAAACAAAAAACCCCCCACAAAATAACTTCCTTTTGTATAAGGAAACCATATTGGTTTGTTGAAATAACTATATAGATATAGAGGTGTGTAGATCATTTTGTGAAGTGTCTCCAGCTCTAAAATAAAATACTTCTAAAGTAAACACACTATGCTGTAAGATCTGATTGAGAATTAAACCATGAGAGTCCCAGCCAAGGGAAATATCTAGGGCTACCTAAATGGCAGATAATTAAGTAGTGAGACTGCAGGGGCATGATTTATACACCAAAATTGCTTGATTAAGGGGACACTCCACAGCACTTTTTTATTGGGAATATATTTAAAAGTTTGTAATGGCTGCAGCCTTTGCAAGCCAACCCCTTCTAACTCCACCCAGACTTTCTGTGGCTGTCCAATCACAGACTTTGCAATGCAGCTCAATGAGAAGTCTTTGAAAGGCAGGTGCTCTGGGCAATTGCTGCCTTTTGAGTTTATCTCCACTGAGCTAACCAAACCAGGAAGTAACAGGACCTGTTGCCTGACAGCCAGGGGCAGTGGTGTATCCTGGTTTTGTGCTGCCCTAGGCAGGACAAAACTCAGGCGCCCCCCTCCCCCCGCGCCACCCAACCCTTGCCCCCGCCCCACCTTCTAAATACACACACACACAGACACAAACACACACACACACACAGTCAGACACACACACAAACACACACACACACACAGTCACACACACAGTCAGTCAGACACACACACAGTCAGACACACACACAGTCAGACACACACACAGTCAGTCAGACACACACACAGTCAGAGTCACACACACAGTCAGACACACACACAGTCAGACACACACACAGTCAGACACACACACACAGTCAGACACACACACAGTCAGACACACAGTCAGACACACACACAGTCAGACACACACACAGTCAGACACACACACAGTCAGACACACACACAGTCAGACACACACACACACACACACAGTCAGACACACACAGTCAGACACACACACAGTCAGACACACACACAGTCAGACACACACACAGTCAGACACACCAGTCAGACACACACACAGTCAGACACACACAGTCCGCACACACACACACACACACAGTCACACACACACACACACACACAGTCAGACACACACACACACACACACACAGTCAGACACACACACACAGTCAGACACACACACAGTCAGACACACAATACACACACACACACAGTCAGACACACACACACATTAACTTTTTTTTTAAAATTTAAATCCCCCCAACCTCCTTACCTTTGGGAGTGCTGGGGGGGAAGTCTATCTCTACCTGGTGGTCCAGTGGCTGCCGGTCGGGCTGGAGCGGCTCTGTTGCTGGGCGGAGCGGCTGACGAGGGGATTTTCCGAGCTGCTGCTAAGGCTGAGAGAGGCTGGGAGCCGGAAGATGACGCCATATTCGCTCCCAGCCTCACTCAGGGCCAGGGAGCTGGGCACTCAGCCTGTGAAGTGCTCCTCACTTCAGCCTCAGTTCAGCCACTGATGCGACTGTTACCTTGGCAGGGCATGGCATTTTTTTTGCCGCCCCCTGAAAAATGCCGCCCAAGGCAAATGCCTTGTCAGCCTTGCGGCTAATACGTCCCTGGCCAGGGGGGTGTAACAAGCTTAATTTATAAAAGTGCCATGTTATATTGAAATCCATTTTTAACCATTTAAGGACACGACATGTGTGACATGTCATGATTCCCTTTTATTCCAGAAGTTTGGTCCTTAAGGGGTTAAAATGAATAAAGAGGAAATGCTTTTCTCACACACAGCATTTCAGCAAGCTAAACTGCTTTAGGGGTCCAGAATGTCTTTTTAAGCTAAAGTTGTTTGGTGCTTATAGGTTTTAAAGATTAGAGATTGAAAATTCCCCCCTGCCGAGTGAGCTCTCCAGGTTTGGAGTAGTAACCAATTGAGGTCTGTCACAGTTTGAGAAAATACAATATAGATAAAAGGTACATGCAATAGTCTTCCAACAGAAGCAGTAACCTAGTAAAGGAACTGATAATGCTTTGTATGTGCACCAGTTAGTAAACTCAGTCTGAGGATTCGTAATGTGCTACAGGATGAGCCGCTAGTTCTCTTCCTTCAGCCGATCAGGAACGATAGGAACTACATGGTGCACTCCCACGAAGAGATGACACTCAGTCCTGGAAGCTCTTAGTCCTTACAAGGACTTTCCCCGCTGCATCCCCCGCAAGCTGGAACAGCAGACACAGTTAGATCTCCCTTCCCTCCAGTAACCAGAGGACACACAGTTCTGGAGGTTAAAACACTACTTGGTACACACAACTTTTATGCACAGACCCCCACATGGGGTCTCCAATCAGTTCAACACAATCCCAGGCAGGAGGGGGTTGGGTTACAGATGGCAATCTCCTGCTCTGGGAGATACTAACAGTACACAGGGACACACATTAAAACATATTCCACACAGGGGGGTAACCTACATCACTAGATGGCACCGGGTCCCATCTGGGATCCCTGCAAAAAGCAGGGCAATTTGGATATACAGAACCCGAGAAATCATCATCTAAAGTCTAGGGCTCGAGGCTCTGTATATTCCCGAAATTAGTTCCACGAAGTTGCTTGCTTTAGTACGGCAAATTCAAGCTTTATGCCTAAACGAAGCAACAACCAATCAGCTGAAAGGCGCAAAACCAGTTTGATTGTGCTTGCCCTCTCCCATTGGTCCACACAGACTTCCATGTGGTCATTGGGACTGCGGCCGTGAGGCCAACTTACAGTTCCAGAGATTCCCTGCAGGGTGCCCATCTGTGACAAACTCCTCCTTTCCAGTGAGTTTTCCACAAGTTCCTGGAGGAGACTGCTTGCCAGCCTCCTGCCCACAGACTATGTACCCTGTGAAAAATAATGTAAAAGTCTCTGTCCGTGCAATTGGGATTATATAATTTGGTTACCGAACAACCACTCGAACCGGAGACCACCCTGGAGCTTGTTAACCCTCATTAACCACTTGGAATGGTTCTCACCGCAGTGTTCTAATTGTTCGTCTGGGTGGCTGCAGTTCCTATGGACAACCACGAGGTGGCGGCCATCTTGTTCGCAGGCAGCGGTGTTTGGGGATGAATCTTATGGAACTAAAATTGGACACACAAACTCCCGAACACCACTGGACTGCCATCATCGCCTGTATACAACTTGGAAGGGCACTGTTCGGTGAAATCATTCATCTGGATGAGGGGAACAAGCTGCAGGGTAAGACTATTGACTCTGTTCTGTAGTTTGCTCGTTTTAAAACCAAACTAGACCGACCGCGAGCCCTGATTCTCTGCAACTGTTTTGGGCATGGGACCATGCCTACGGTCTGTCAAATAAATGACTTCCAGGAAAGTCCTGAACCGCTGAACTGATCTGGGTGATTTTTTTTGGATATGTTGGTCACCATGACCAGGGCTATCAGAGGATGTTGGATTTTATGTATTTTTGGGGTGTTTATAAAACCTTGTGTTTTTTGTGCCTGGAGATAGAGTCAGATACTGTAGTAACTCCATTATCTCCCAGGCAGAGGCGAGGGATTGTATGCTTGAATATGGGAGTGTCATGTTTTTAAACACCTTTGTCATTGGTCTGTGACTTTGTGCTGCAGTCCCCCACAAGGTCCAGGGGGGAGTGCCTCTTGCATGGGGACATGCATACAAGACCAGTTGTGGCTGCCATTAAAGCGTTCCAGCTTGCACTCCAAAACGGTGTCATCCTGTTATTGGAGGGATGGAAGATTTAACCCATGTGTCTGCTGTTCCAGCTTGCAGGGGATTCAACGGGGAAAGTCCTTGTAAGGACTAGAGCTCCCAGGACTGTGTGTCGTCCAGGGCCTGGGGGTGTCTAGAGCGAATTCCCCATTCGGCTCCAGGAGGGAGCGGTTAGAGGGCCCCAGTCAAGCCACGGCGACTGAGGGCAAGAGTGCTGCAGTTTGTCCCCTGTTCCAGCTAGGAAGCAGTCCTTGGCGGAGATACCCAGCCAGGGGTACAGGGAGCTCCGTTACAGCTACCCTCTCTCCGGTGGATATCCCCACGTAGGTATCCACCGGAGAGAGCGCTTTCTTGGGCAGCCATGAGCCTAGCCTCTAAGCTCCCGGGCAGGGGGAAACGGTGATCATAGCTCCGTTGGGAGCGGGTAGGACGGTCCCCGATACGGGGACCTGAGACAGTGTGCGTATGCCAATTCAGGATACAAATGCTGCCCCTGATTGGAATCTGTTTATACAAACCGGCGGCCACCTAGGGGAAGCACACGCCGCGTTTTCCCTTGCGGTTTTCACCTCTTGTTACAAGGTGTGAGTGTTCTAAATAGATATCCTAAATGAGGTGTCAGGGTGGTCCCCGTTCAGCAGCTGCACAGAACCAGTTTGTATGGGTTCTCCCAAACACATGAATACAACACAATTACATATAGATACATAGGGAAACAGAGTACAAGGGAAAATCGTGAGTATAAACATTGGGAACACAAAATACAAGGCCAAAACATATGAATATTCTGTGGGCATGGTACTTAATGGTGGTGTCCCGCCACACATACCACTGGAAAAATTGGCAGGAATTAAACTGTGGAGCTTGAGAATGATCGTCAACAAAGACTTTTTATTTAATTCCTCCCCTAGCTCTACTGAAGATGCTGGCTGAACACTACGGTCAGCAAACCAATGAATTGCTACCCAAACTCCAATTCCTGATCTATCAGTGTCGAGAGAGCCAGGAATACGGCAAAGACGTTCAAGCTGCAATCACAGACTGGTGAGTGGGTTTTACAATCTGTTCTTTCTATTGAATGAGGCGGTGCACACTTACTGTACGTAGGTCTCTGGAGGAGGCTGGAGACAAATAGTGTAAGTTCATGCATAGGAAACAGAGTGCAAGTTAATTTTATTTGCTGATTCCCCCAGCCAATTTGAGCACTGCAGCTTCTCAAAGTTTTTAATGTGGAATTGGAGACCTCAAAAGTGTCTTTTAGAATTTGAATAGATTTATTAAAGTTGATTATTTAATTGTGGATTTTAATCTCCAGTAACAGCTGGGGGGTGGGGGTGAATCTCCATTCTAGAATAAAAATCTGTTTTGTGCTGTTCCCCCGCCCCCTCCCCCTTGCAGTTTCAACTTTGCATATTTCTCAGATGCTCTGAAGTTACTGATTTTAAGTGAATCCGTTCCTAAATATCACACTTCCACTATAACTGGGTGCAGATCCCCTTATAAAAATTCATATACCAGCTGCAGAATGTCATAATACTAAATTCTGCAAAATAAAGGCTTTAGAAAAGGAAATTGAAATATATAAGCTTTAAGGATTGGAACGCGATCTTCTAAACCGTGGTACTGAGGGCAGCATGCACACATGGCAGTGGGGAAGGCCTTTCTATTGGAATTCTGACTCCTCTTTCTGATTTTATTTCCTTTTTGTAAGGTGGGAGCAGCCAGCTCAGCAATGTCTGCCGTGGGAGCAGAGAGGGGGTCTGACTCTGCAGCAGTGGCGAGATCGTTGGACCGTGGCAGTAACAGCACTGCAGAGGGCATCAGGGGGCAGAAGTTGAGTGTTTTAAGCCAGGATTGTTCCTGGGGCTATATAAACCTTGAGTTGTACATGAAAACATATGGGGAGTTCTAATGCCATCTACAGGCTTAAACTGCAACAAATGTATATAGATGCATGGAGTTTATTTAAATCCAGATTATATTTTCTGATCATGGTCATCATATTTCTTTGAACCAGATCTAACCTGCCACAAGCTTGCTTAAACAGAATGGTCATTTCCAATGAATTGTAGGTCAAGTGATTTTTAAAGGATATTCACAATTCCTAGTGTTTTATAAAGTATTCTATTTTGTTAATCCCACAAGTCACTGTGCATTAGTGAAGTCTGTATTGTGTGCTCTGTATAGTCCGGTTTCTTGTCTAACTGGTGAGGTTTGAGGTACTTTCCTCCCCAGCCTTCCTTGGGTTTGATTATTTTAACATTTTGTAACAAAAACAGGACTGTGATGTTTAATTAGCTGATTTTCTGCATTTCTCCAGGTCTACTTAAATGACATGTAGACTCACATGAACAAGGTTTATACTATGTACAAACATGGTCATGTCTTCACCGTATAGAAATATGTATAAATCCCACATCAATAAAACCTTTTTTAAAAAATTATTACAATGGTATGTTTTCTTCTTCCTCTGTGTCCTTATAATTGTTCATATGTAACCAAACCCTCAGCAAATGGTACTAATCTTAACGTCGGGTCTTTGGCTGATCCCCCAGAAAAGCCCATTGTGTTTGGTTGTTGGTTCTTGACACCAGAAAAAATATTCGTCACTCTGTGATCACCTGATTCCAGCGTCACTCTGCCTCATCTTACCATGGGAGGGTGGGCTAAATCTCATGAGCTGCGAGTGCATTAGGCTCTACCAATAAATCATTGCTCTAATACTTTGCTATGGGGATTTAACGGACGCTGCATGTCCCAATGCAGCGTTTGAGGACGTCCATCGTCAGACAAGCAGGAAGTGCCACTAGAGGCAGTCTTAGTCCTGCAATGTAATTGTTGCAGTTTCTCAAAAACTAAACTGGGGGGGGGGGGCACTGCACTCAGACCATTTCGGCAAGCAGACATTTCTAGGTGCCTATAGTGTCCCTGTTACCCGCAATCAAAGCCCCACAATGTGCCGTATAAATAACTCCACATATTTCACACTTTTATAAATGAGTTATTTGGCCCTAGTATATCTCTGTATTACTGGGGATCTCTGGCTATCAATGGTCAGATGCCTAAATCGTCCCCTGGAGTTCTTCTAGGTCTGCTCCAGCAACGTCCCTGGAAGTATTTCTTGAAGTGCACTCTTGAAATTGTTTCATATAAAGTATTTAATGTTGCTGTGTGCAGTGGATTCTTCCCCCATTATAGAGAGGAAAAGAAATCTTCAGAGAGAAATGGGGGATACATCCTGTCCAGAATTAAATACAATTATTGTCTCTGGTTGGGGGTGGGGGGGGGGGAGAGCAGGGGTTTAACTTGTTTGCGAACACCTTGCCATAGCCAGTAAAGCTTGTGCTGGGAGTGTTCCTTTAATTATGTATTAAATAATAGCTGTGTATAATCTCTATTTGTGTTGTATTCATTATGCTGCTGTATTAGCCCCAACCTTTAAATTTATCTAAACACCGAACTGGACTGAAAACTTTATATCCAAGATGGTGGATATTTGTTGTTTTTTGCCCCCTCTCCCCCTATATGTGATTCGGCCTAACCTTTACCTTTGTTTTGCCCTCTTCCTAATCACAATTTGGTATTTAGTGAGTAAACCCCCTGGAGAAATATGTCACGAAGAAGTACTTGCCGATTTTAAATATTAGATTGTCCTACTCAGCTCAAGCGGCAAGCTCAAAATACTTTCAGCGAAACCTCGAAAGGAAGTGAAACCCTCTTGCGTGTTTTGTGGTTACTATGTAGTTCTACCCCTGTTGCTTAGAACTACTCAAAAAAGGCATTTTTCATGATCAGTGATTTAACAGTTTGATAATGTAGAATAATATTTGGCAAACTTAATTTTCATTTCTCTTTTATCTGCCTGGTAGCAAGGGCCGTCAAAGTTTACTGGAGACATTGCATGTTTAATGACTGGAAAAAAATACTGTGTTTGGGTAAATGTGAGGAAGGCGTATCTCAGTTTTGACAGTAAAATGTGAATGGTTTTCCTGGATATTCATATACTGCGCTATTCGCCTGTGAATGGTTGTGATGGTGAATTTAAAAATATTACGGCAAAAACTGAATTGCAAAAATCTGTCAGCAATTTTTTTATTTTTTTTTTTCAGTTCAGCTGTTTGAGCCTAAGGTTTGAAATTGCTGATTATTCACACGTTGGTGAATAGCCCTGTAATAGTAGTTTAGTGAATCCCGGGTTTGTGCTGTGTTGGTATGTCTAGTCAATGCTCCTGTGATCATGGTTTTTATTTGCCCTGATGGTTTTTTTCTTATCACCCCCTCTGTGTTGTGACCTGAAGTATTTCTGATAACCATTAGCTATCTTACAATCTGAGACGGTTTCTCTCTGCTGACTCTTACATTTCTGTAATTATCTGGTTTATCTGCAATTTGCTACCTTGCTTTCATCTTTAACTTCGAGATGGTAACCCACAATCACCCAGAAATGTAATTTACCTTCTCGATCCATGTCTACATATGGTCTTTAAATCCCATCAGATTGAAATGCAGAGGTTGGAAGGATACTACAGAACTGAGGTATCCCCTCTAAATCAGTATTTACCACCAGCACCCCCAAACGGGTATTATTTACTGTAGTCCCTACAGGCAGGGTAGCTGGGTTTGAGGCATTTCAAATCCACTGTTTTAGCCTGAGGAATGTGGTTTGTTTTTGTTGTTTACTAACTACAATTTAGCAGATTTTTTATATATAAAATTTTCACTTTAGTCCAACCTACTTTCTGATAAAATGATTTATTTAGAACTTTGTACCGAACTCCATGTTTTTCTGATTGTGCAGCGAGCTTACCTTCCAAGTGAATACCCCTGTAAGTAAATCAAGGGCTTTGTCGTTTTATTAACACAAAAAAGCAATCCAAACACTTATTAAAACCCAGTCATGTTCATTTATATTCAAATGAAAATGTAACTGTCCTTAAAGGGACACTATGGTCACCAGAACCACTACAGCTTAATGTGTGGTAAACAGGTTGATGTAGTGGCTCTGGTGGCTATAGCCTGTCCGTGCAGTATTGGCACTGTAAACACTGCATTTTCAGAGAAAAGGCAGTCTACATTGCTGGCTAGTTACACCTCTAGGTGCAGTCACTCAGATGGCCACTAGCAGTGCTTCCTATCTCAGTGCTGCACATTGTGCAGGGACCTACATTTAGTGTCTCCTATTAAATGACTTAATGCAGGATAGGAGAAAGACGCAAATTCACTAAATCCTACAGATAATTCCTGAACGTGTATTCCACTCTCCCAAAAAAAAAAAAAACTGTCTGCTTCCCCCTGTGTTCCAGACCACTTATTGCTTGTGTTTACCAGAATCTGATATTTCTTTATCAGCAATAAAAGATAAATGTTTCTTAATTACGTAGACGTGCAAGGCTTCTATGTAAATGAATTATTTTATTAATTAGAAAATACAAAATATAAGACCATATCTGACTATTTACACAAAATCCTAGAACGTGAGTAGAAAAATTGTACCTGAGAAGAGAAAATGCAATTTCAGGAAGAGAAGTGCATGGTGTGGAGCAGGACTGTCCACGCTTGGACCTCCAACTCGGAGTATCTTTTCCCAGAATGTTCGAGCTGGAGGACCATGCGTAGGTACCCCTGGGGTACAGGCTTTCTATACTCTGTACCACCAGCAGCTCTTTATTTAGATGTTCTCGATCCGGAGGACCATGCATGGTACCTGGGGTACAGTCTTCTGAGCAGGCTTTCTGTACCACCAGCAGGTCCTTATTTATAATTGTAGACTCACAGAGCCTTCTTTGGTGACCACTAGCTACAGAGTAATTCAGTGCTTTCCAGTGACCCAGCCTACCGCGCTGGCCATGAATGAGATGCCGACCCTTCTCACATGGCATGTCCCTTTTAATGTAAGGTTAGGGCATTCACAGTCCAGAATGTCCCTGTGAGCTCTGGCCAAACTATTTCTGTACCAAAACTTTTTTTCATTGATTCATTTGGCTTTGTTCGTGTTTTTTTGACTCCTGCTGTGGCCCCTGTGATTGTCGGGCCAGCATGTCCTGCAAATCACACACAAATCGGTAGACATAGCGTTGACCACCTGTCTTGTGGATTATGTTCTTATGGTAATAATATCGTAATCCGCGACTCAACTTCTCATAGTTCATTCTGGGTTTGTTCTTTCGCCTCCCCCATCGCCTTGCCACCTGTCAAAATTCAGTTCAGCACATTGATTTATCTAGAAACATTTAAAGGTTACATCATATCAAAGTGTTACATCATAAGCCTCAGCAGTCAATGGTCATCAAGACAAGATCCTGTCTCCCATTGGCTACACTATAGATCTTTCCAGTTTCAGACTAAATATACAGCACTTGTTGTGGCAAAGTGCAGATCACTAAACTGGAAATTGCAGAGAACTGAAACTTTAAAGACAAGTTAATCACATAAAATAAAGATTTGTTGCCTAAAATTTCTGTTCCCTCATTAGTTCCACATCATTCCAAGCTCACTGATTCGGTGTAATCCCCGCTGTGTGTACTGTTGGTATTAGTGTGGGATTTGTATTAAGAAAAATCTAAAAAAAATTCCATCTCTTAACAGTCCAGTGATATGTATTAAACTTACAAAATAACAGAGGGGTCTCATTCAGAAACCGTGAGTAGTGACACGTTGAAAACAACAATTTGCTAAATATGGGGGAAATAACAATGTTCTTGCTGTTACCAACAATTTACTGTTTAATAACTAATTGCCCCTACATTAAAGAAGGCTGTCTCCCTGACTGTCACTAGAGGAGAGTCCACAATTTACACAGAGTAAAACGTACTTTTGACGCTGGACATCCTCAAGGAGTCCAGCGTCAAATAAGATCCCCATAGTAAAGCATTGAGTAAGGCTTTCCTATGGCGGGTTTAAATGCATGCGCGAGCCCCTGGCTGCGCATGCGACTTCACTCGGGAGCTGACGATGGAGGAGGTCACCAGTGCCGAGGGAGTCTGGCGCTGGATTAAGGTTAACAAATAAATGGTTAATTAACGGTTTAGGTGACTAGGGCTCTATATCGTTAGGAATACATGTGTATTCCTAATGCTAGAGTGTTCCTTTAAGTATACAGTACCCCAGCTTGCCAGATGGTGTAAGATAAGTCTGTATAATAAAGACCCAGAGCACGGTGGGCACACAACTACCGCTGCCCGTGTTTGTTGGACTGGGGAGGAAACACAAGGAGCAGCCCTTCCCACCCACAATTAAAATAAACAGAAAGTAAACTCTCGGTACACACCCAATACCATGCTGTGCCCCCGGCATACCTCGTTAGGGTCTGATAGTTTGAACTCCCAGCCATTGCCTGTCCAGTTGATCAGTTTCTGGCACGTGGAGTCTTGCAATAATTCCAACAGGAACTGCCAGAGTTGGATTGGACCTGATCCGGCTGCAAATAAAGAACGAAATAGATGAGTGAAAGCCATGGATCCAGGAGTTAAAGAAAAACATATATAATAGTGCGAAGATCCCGATATGATGTCATACTGACATATTGATATGTATATAACCCTGTGATCTCCCAGCCAGGGACCGGTTAGAGCACTGATCTCCAAACTCATTTATAAAAACCAATCAATCAACCAAGGACTCTAGGAGTCAGGGTAGGGGCAAATTCTCTTAGGAAACCATAGGGGTGAGTAATATTTTCCCAGAATTCTCCGCAAGTTGTCAGAATAAATATACTGCAAAACATCACTAAAATAAAACTCAGTTTCTCTTTACCCCCTTCGTAAACTGAGGTTTGACATGTCTGTTTGAATCACGTCTGGAATGTCATTGACTATTAGGGTTTAACGATCATGAAATCTGAAGTTCAAATTATTCAAATACAATAAATGTTTTAAGGAAATCAACTTTTACAGAGGTGGACCTATCAAATATTGTTTAAACGCTGCCTCTGGCCCATGACAGGTTAAACCTTGCGCAGTTTCCTGCATTTAGCAATCATTTGGGACTAATTGGTATTTAGCAATACATTTTGGGATGTCACGACCGTAGCAATCTGGCAGTGCGAGGGTTACGGTAATGGTCTGATTCTTGTTAGATTTACTAAGTGTACTCACTGGATGGAGTGGACTTGCTGTCTTTGGATCCTGGTGCTCTCTGAGTAGGATGGAACCTCTCTTTATCATTGGCACTCCGAGGCCCTGGCCGGCTGACTGCTTGCTGGAAACCATAATTATCGACAGTAAAACCTGAAAAAATATAAGATTTAGAGCTTTGTTTAGATAAGAGATTGGATGGATGTTTTTAGCTCGTTGGAGGAACCAAGACTATAAGGGGTAACAGGACCAGCCTTTTACCCAGATAATACATGTTCTATCAGTATAAAATAGGGATTAGCTGGAACGATCTGATATGATATGGGCACAGGAGGAATGTAGGGTGAACACAAGCAGGAGAGATGGATTAGGGGTACTGGTAATAGGGATAAAATGGGCATTGATTGATTCAAATTCACAGGGGGATTTGGAGGGGGTTACAATGGACATGAATGTGAATCAATCAAATCCCTAACATAGGACCTTAAATTATACAGATAATTATTTGCTGCCAGTAATAATGCAATAATGAAAGCAATACTTCATACAACAGCAAATGGTTTAATTTGCCCTGTTGCCAGCCCTGCACACAGAATAATGGAGCTCACCTGTCTGTGGAGCTCTGTTTAATGTCGAGCTGTGATTTATCTGCATGCAAGACTGGTTTCTGCCCAACCCTGGTGATGGATGCATGGTGGAACCTTCATAGGAATTACAGCTCAGCCATGTGGCCTCGTCCCAGCTGTGCCACTCCTCAGATGCCCAGGAGAAGCCCTGGTCCCCCACGTTTCCCGCTCCTAAACTGTGGGAGAAGCTCTCCATTGGAGCATCATGCTGGGGGTAGTACAGGGAGTCCCCAGCCTCATGGCCCAACATCTCCTGGTGGGTAGACTGCTGCTGTAGCTCTCCAGTATATGAAGGTAGAAGTGTCTGGAAAGATGGCAGGAACTCATCCGGCGACAGAGACTCTCCTTGGTTCGGGACAGAGAGTGACCCTAAAATAAAATATAAATAGTTGTATCACTTTGTAATGTGTGGCTCCTCGTTATGTCACAGAAAGGGTTAAAGGTCTCCCTAGTCCACACAGGGTTAATCCTCGCCCCTCTATGTAATATAGAGAACCCTACCTGAGTGGCAGTGCTCCCAGTAATTCAGAGATTGCTCTGTGAAGGCATTGGAAGAGAGGGGTGTGCTGTTTGAGTTGGGGTACAGTCCCTTGTCTGCACTCAGCCGGTTCCTGTCCAAGCCCTGGAGAAATCCAGGATCCCCATATCTGAAAACTGCAAGAAAAGGGACGTTACTGTCATCATCTCTTCACAGAACACCCCCTTCCCCTGGCCAGGCCTCCTGTATCCCCAAAACCCGGCAGATTAACACAACTATTTATAGAGAGAAACTGCTCCCCAAAAACATCAAAGCCCAGTCTGTGTTTATCCGATTTTCCTTTTTGATATAAAACCTAATCCGTATTGTAATAAGCCCGTGCCAAGGCAACCACAAAAAATGAAACATTGAATCTGATCAGAGGCTTCTTTATTTAACACTGACTGAGAGTGAAGAGAAAACAACTGCAAATCTTGGCCAAAAATAAGGGATTTCAAAACAAATTCCCCAAATCCCATGTTCTTGCAGCTTAGTCATTTAGGCTAAATTTAGCATTTCGTTTTAATTCACCTCAATTAGTGTTTCATAAATGATCCCCAATAAATCCCATGATGCACAGCAAATAAGACCAAACTGGCTATGCCCAGAAAAATGTATTGTTATTCACTAAATTGGGGATTTCTCATTTTAGACCAAAGCAGCCAAGTCAAAAACACAACATATTTATCAATATTTCCACTCCAGCGATTGTTACCCAACATGAAATTCCCTTTGAATCCCAGACAATTCGCACTATCAGGGTTAATATGTGGTTAATAGTGAGTTGATAAGGGAATTGCTAAATATAGGCTGAGGTTTTCCAAACTGACTCCATGTTGTAATAAATCAATTAACACCAAGAGTGAGGAAACCTAAAGGGAATTACCTTGAGCCGCAGTCTCCAAACTCGGTACCTCCTGCGGGGAGAGATCCTGGTAATAAAGGCTGCTTAAATCCATCTGAAGGCAGAGGAAAACATTATCAATAAATTGCAGATATCAATATATAAACAGACCCTCACCCATCTTATCGCAATGTACCATCAACAAACTGCAGGGGGGGGGGGATATAGACACTCACCCTTCATTATCCCAATGTATAATCGATAAGCTATAGACAGACAGACACAGACAGGTCCACATTTTTCATTATCCCAATATATAATCGATAAGCTAATAGACAGACAGACACACACAGGTCCACATTTTTCATTATCCCAATATATAAATCAATAAGCTATACACAGACAGACAGGCTCATACAGGTCCACATTTTTCATTATCCCAATATATAATCGATAAGCTATAGACAGACAGACAGACTCATACAGGTCCACATTTTTCATTATCCCAATATATAAATCGATAAGCTATAGACAGACAGACCCACATTTTTCATTATCCCAATAAATCACTCCTTCAGAGTCCCCACATTACAGCAAGTTATCAGAATAGCCAGCTGTGTAGGCTCTGGCCAATATACCAACCTCAGCATGGCTTTATATCACAGTGTGTGTCTGGAAAGAGTTAATAGACTAAGCTGCTCGATGTATGTGGTCAAAGCAGGTCTTGGCAATTTCATATTTTGAAGGTTTTAAAGACCCCTCGCAGTGGCTTCATAGTGAATGCTTTAGAAATGGGGGGGTTATTCCTCAGATAAGTATGTGTTTTGCTAAAATCAACTTCAAAAGTTCAGGACAGAATAGCAGAGGTGGGGAAAGAATTACATTTCAGTCACTAAAGACATTACATTCGTTCTGAGCGTGGCTTTATACCCTAAATCATCTATTTACGGTTTAGCGAATGTACCCCCATTTCATGAACATTTTATATGCCTGACAGATAATGTGTACAAAATCAGATTTGTCACAAAATAGTCAATAAAATATGATTTAATAATAACTGGCAGTATTCAATAAGCAGTAACGAGTTTAGATAATGTTTTCTCTCATTAATTATAAAAAGCCAAATAACATGAACTTTCCTAAAACCTCAATCTGTTTATCTGAGATTGGAAAGAGGTAGCAAAGAGATTGGGCTGCAATTCTGGGTGCACTGGGCCAGGATGGGGCTGAACTTAAAACTGATTTTTGAGTTTGAGTTTTGTGAGTTGAAAAGAGGGGATTAAAGTGGGGTGATAGAGGTTTGGAGGTACATTGATGCTGTGGGGTAAAGTGGGTGAAAAGTTTGGGGGTGCTATATTACTGGAAGGTTATAGTGGGGTGATGGGAGTTTGGGGGTGCTATGATGCTGGAAGTTTATAGTGGGGTGATAGCAGTTTGGGGGTACATTGATTATGGAATGTTATAGTGGGGTGATAGAAGTTTGGGGGTGCTATGATACTGGAAGGTTTTAGTGGGGTGATAGCAGTTTGGGGGTACATTGATTATGGAATGTTATAGTGGGGTGATAGAAGTTTGGGGGTGCTATGATACTGGAAGGTTTTAGTGTGGTGCTGTTATACTGGAAGATTAAAGTGGGGTGATAGAAGTTAGGGGGTGCTATGATGCTGGAAAGTTTTAGTGGGGTGATAGCAGTTTGGGGGTGCTGTTATACTGGAAGATTAAAGTGGGGTGATAGAGGTTTGGGGGTGCTATGATGCTGGGGGTGTCACTCACCTTGTCCTTGCAGTGGAATCTGGAGACTCTTAGTGTATACAATGTGTCCAGCTTCTCCCTGCCTGCATTCTATATACTCTCAGCCGCCCTCTCATTGGCTGTCTGGGCTGTGACGTTGCATTCCCTCTCCAGTTCTCCAAGGGGCAGAGTTTCCGTGACGTCACGCAGGGTCCTTGGTGCTGGATTCTTATCAGGGGGTCAGATGGCAGCCTGGGGGGGGGAGGGGGGAGAACTACCTAAAATCCATCACTCAAGGGAGAGGAAGAAGGGATCAATGAAAACAATGAGTCCAGGATCATTAACCATTTAACAAGGTTTAAAAATAGATTAAATGGATAAACAGTAACATCTGTAAAATATTCTGTACAATAAATACAATCTTACCATGCTCTCTGTGTGTGTGTTATTATTATTATTATTATTATTATTGTATATCTGTTATTACTATTGTTATTATTGTATATATGTTATTAATATTATATGTTATTATTTTATTATTGTATATATGTTATTACTATTATTATTATTATTATATTTTATTATTATTATTTTATATATGTTATTATTATTATTATATTTTATTATTATTATTATTATTATTGTATATATGTTATTATTATATTTTATTATTATTATTATTGTATATATGTTATTAATATTATTATTATTATATTTTATTACTATTATTGTATATATGTTATTATTATTATTATATTTTATTATTATTATTATTGTATATATGTTATTAATATTATTATTAGATTTTATTATTATTATTATTGTATATATGTTATTAATATTATTATTAGATTTTATTATTATTATTATTGTATATATGTTATTACTATTTTCAATGCAGCAATTAACTCTATGAATTAGTGCAAGGGGTTTATACAATAAATTCCAAAAATGTTGCGAATCAAAAACCCAATGGAAAAAAGTAAATATAAAGAACTGATCTTGTAATGTATTAATCTCAGGTCTATTGACAGCTCGGCTGGTTCAGCCCAGATGGTGGTTTTATTTTCTCCTATTTGCCATTTAGAGAGCAATCCTGAAGTCACCGTCTGGTCTTTGCCATTTGGATAAAAATTCGATACAATTCACCAATTAGTAAATAGCGTCTTATAATACAGCCCAGTGCGTTCTGTGGGCCTTTCCAAATGTGGCTCCAAATTGCAAAATGTGGGGGGGAAATTCCCAGAATTGTAATGTACGATTTATTACCCGTCTTTCCAAATGAAATGACAGAAATCATTCTCCCTCTCCAAGCCACATAAGAAATATCATGTATTATCAAACAGAGGGGTGCAAACTCCCCCCTTCCCTCCCTCAGTGGCCTTTGGTGTGAGAGTCATCCAGTGTGTGGGGATCCTGGGATTAAGATTAATTTAGGAATTGCCGTTTTTGACATATTTCAGGGTCAAGGAGGCACTTTCTGACTAATTCTAATCTGTGTCAAACTCTCTTAGCTCAGCTTGGAAGTGGGTATAAAAACTATAAAGAGTAAATATTATTAATATTCTCCAAAATATTTCCTCTGGATTGTCACAAATTATTCCAAATTTCGCAACAACTTGCTGAATATGAACAATTACATATTGAATTATAGTGTAAAATAATGGTATCTATATGTCTGTATGTCTGTCTATCATTTATCTGTCCATCCATCAATCCATCCATCCGTTTATCCATCTATCCGTCCCTTCATCCATATCTGTTATACATACATTACATTACATAACAGAGAGTTGTCTTTGGCATTCTGAGAGCTTATTAATATTATTTTTTTTTATTTTTTTCAAATGTAACATTTTTATTGGTTTTTGTTCTGTCATTCAAAAAGACAATAGGGTACAGAAAAAGTGGGTGGGGGATCATAAATCTTGGTACAAATTAGTCATACATCCATATATGCAGATTTTACAGTAAGTTGACACCATTCTGGAAATTCACACATATTGACATATTTCTGCCAGTTATGTTATTGAAGTCTGTTGGTCGAGTGTCAGCTATGTTTCTCATAATTGTCTTACATGGGTATACCTCCCTCTTCTCAAAGCCCTCACCCAAACCCCGTTAAATAGTTAACCTGTTTGAGGTACGATCACTATATTGGGCAATCGCTACCCTGTGACTTGTCATTTACCCTGAAATGCCTTGTGTATGTAGTGTTGGCATTCGGAGGTTCGGCTCCCCCATATAGGTGATATAAAGCAATGTTGTGGTGTATTGCATTCCATGTAGGCCTTGAGTTGTTGCTACGCTGGTGTGTGGTGTCATTTCCCTGAGTGAGTGGTCCTGAGTTTTGGGGGATCACCCTTGTGTGCCTGGGCTTCTGCATCACACCCCCACCACGCCTGTCAATCCTGACCTCTCGTTGGGTCTGCACTGTTGTTTCCAATGTCTCAGTGGGTATAAAACAGTAACATAAACATTCTTGCAAACATATAAATAATATAACTTTGAACCCATGCAGAGCTTTTTCTCTTTATCGCTACATGTAGCCTCATAAAGCTTTTCTACTTATCCAGTATTGGATTTTGCCCTTGTACTATGTCTCTTGTTTTTACATAACCCCCGACCAAGCGTCCCCCATTATACCTGGTATTGTTTTCCATGAGAAACCGTCCTTATGGAGTACTTGGGGCAGTTAGGGTATCGGGAATGTGTCCCTCCCTGTGTGTCTGCCAAAGACGGGATATTTCACTCTGTGTTTTCCCTACGTGTGATTGAAGTATTGTTGCCTCTTCATATTCTACATTTGTGGAGATTGTGTCCAGCAGTTCAGCTTTACAGGGTATCGTTGCAGCTATCCGGTTTCTCGCTAGTAGATTAGTTGCTGCAGTCAAGGTTAAGAATATTAGTTTATGAACTGGTTTGGGGAAAGATTTGGGGAATATATGGAGTAGGTAACCCATGACTGAGGGTGGAAAGTGGGTCTTGGTGATTTCTTTAATTACGTCACTCACCATTTCCCAGAACTGTGCCACCCGCCGGCATATCCACCAAATATAGAGGGTGTCTCCCACCTCTGGCTTCTCCAGCATTTATTATCCCTAATGAGATGCATTTTGTCTGGTGTTAAATACCCCCTACACCGTATTGTCCTGGTTATTTCCAGGTGGGGTGCACAGGAAGACATTCCCTTAAATGATAGAAACGCCTGGTCCCATGTTTTTGGTGGCAGTTCTTTCCCTAAATCTTTATGCCATTCCTGTTGAAACGTCCAAATGTGGTCTGTGGGCAGTGACATAAATGAAGTGCAGCAAAATGAGAGAATTTTCCTTTGTTTGAGCACATGTTTTGGAAGTGGGTTATGGAATATTATTATCATTTTAATGGCGTGTATATTTATCATCGATACATTACAAGTTTCTGAATAATTATTGACTTTATCTCCATAAATAGTCAAATCAGAAACGTTCTATTATTCGGTTATTGTCTCTTGTCATTCCCCCAGTATCCCCACGTTAGTAAATACACACAGTGCTTGCTGGTTTTGTGTTATAGGAGTAAATGTTTATTTTGGCACAGATGATGGTCTGAGTGTGCACTCCCTCTCAGCGATACAGATGATGGTCTGAGTGTGCACTCCCACTCAGTGAAACAGATGATGGTCTGACTGTGCGCTCCCTCTCAGCGATACAGATGATGGTCTGAGTGTGCGCTCCCACTCAGTGATACAGATGATGGTCTGAGTGTGCACTCCCACTCAGTGAAACAGATGATGGTCTGAGTGTGCGCTCCCTCTCAGCGATACAGATGATGGTCTGAGTGTGCGCTCCCTCTCAGTGATACAGATGATGGTCTGAGTGTGAGCTCCCTCTCAGCGATACAGATGATGGTCTGAGTGTGCGCTCCCTCTCAGTGATACAGATGATGGTCTGACTGTGCGCTCCCACTCAGCGATACAGATGATTGTCTGAGTGTGCACTCCCACTCAGTGATACAGATGATGGTCTGAGTGTGCGCTCCCTCTCATTGATACAGATGATGGTCTGAGTGTGCACTCCCACTCAGTGAAACAGATGATGGTCTGACTGTGCGCTCCCTCTCAGCGATACAGATGATGGTCTGAGTGTGCGCTCCCACTCAGTGATACAGATGATGGTCTGAGTGTGCACTCCCACTCAGTGAAACAGATGATGGTCTGAGTGTGCGCTCCCTCTCAGCGATACAGATGATGGTCTGAGTGTGCGCTCCCTCTCAGCGATACAGATGATGGTCTGAGTGTGCGCTCCCTCTCAGCGATACAGATGATGGAGAGTTTGTACAGGGCTTGCAATCAGCACAACATCGTTATCATGTAGCATCATGAGGACCTAATTAGGGGAGATAAGAAAATGCTGATCAAGTCTTCGTACAAGTCTATAATCTACTAAGAGTAGACCACCTGCGAGGACAAGGGAGCTACTGGGCTACCAGGACTGTTAGTCTCCAACAGATTTATTCAATGAATAACTACTGTACACTCCGTGGTACTTTTTAAACTAGTTTTATATCATGTATTATGGCCCATACAATGTATTTTCCATATTAAATGAAAATAATGTAAAATAATCGGCAGATTGAAAAAATAATTGATCCTCTTTAATTTACATTGAAAATATTACTGTGGAAAAGCATCATTTTAAATGTCACCATCCAGTGAGGGGACATTCTAATTCTGCGTTTACAGATTCCCATTATGGCGGATTAAGGTTACAGGATGTTTAGGGATCAGAGACTTAATTTTACGGATGTTTAGAGTTAAAGAGGAATAATGGATAGTGGGTTCATAACTTCAAGGTGATATGGACTCTAACTCTCATTACGCACAGTCATTACGTTCTGTGTAGGGAGGCTCATCCTATAGGATTGATTATGGCGGTATTCATAGCGCTGTGATCATCTTTCGCATTATAAACTTGCTATATTAACGCTGCCTCCTTTTCACATGGTGGTAATATAACAGGGAATTGTGATGAATTGGAAACCAACTACAAACCTTGGGCTAAATTAGATTGTAAGCTCATTTGGGAAGGTTCCTCTGCACCATCTATTCCGATTTGCTAGAATTAAATATTTGATGGAATTTAATGTTTGTCTCCTTCTTGATCTAAGGAGAGATCTGACTGCCATTCTGGGGCCCACAAGGATTTTTTTCCTCTTGTTTTTTGCAAAATTGGAAGTGCTTCAAACCTTCATTTGTTCAACAGCAAATCAGGTGTGGGAAAGGCTTTACTCGATGGACACGTCTCTTTTCAGCTATGTAACTATGTAATTATGTTTTGTTTAGCTATTATTGTACAGCGCTACTGAATATATTGGCGCTAAGCAAATCATTGTAATTGTAGTATACCTGAGCATAGCTACTTTTGACCTCAACTTTGCAAAAAAATTTATTCTGCATTATATTAAAGGGTCGGCACGTCCATCGGTTTCAGCAGTCTAAGAATACAGGAAAATAAGAGTTTTCTTGTCAACCCTCTGGTGAATTAGACACTGGGTTTGTGTCTCCTTCCTCTCTCAAGACAGAATCTCTAATCTGATCCTCAGCTTGGATTGGGGAAGGCAATGTGGAGCCAATCTCACTCTGCTATGAAGACGTTTGATTAGTTTGGTAAGAAGACAATATCCCCCAGTCGTGTCTGTAATTCTAAGTGGTGGCGTCCATTAGTGCAGAATGTGGTTTATTGCGAAACATTGTGGCATTAAATGTATTTAAGTATTTCCTAATGTAACACTTCAGTTCCCCTCCTTCCTGATTCAGGTTCTGTCTTCTTGTTCCCCCTCCCCTCATCCTATATCATTAGATATCAGTCCCCCCATGGCCCCCAGCTCCAAGCTGGTTAGATTTGCGGATTCCTTTCTATCACTCTCATTGAATTATGCCGACAGTCTTGCACGACTTTCTTCAATTCTCAGCCGTTTTTCTGATAATAAGTTCTCTGGAACTGAACACGTTGGGATTTTTATGAAGAGTTGATATGGAATAAATTGCAGTAATGCGCAATCGCCTTGGAAACCAATGGAATTTTCATGTCAGTAGTCAGAACTTTGCAACGAGTTGTGTTAATTACTACTTTTTAATCAACACCCAATATTCAATGAAGTGATCTATAATGTCCCCAGCATTCCACTCTGTCCCAATGTCTCTCCTTTAGACGGACCCAGTGTCTCTCCTTTAAACTGCCCCACTGTCTCTCTTTTAGACGGACCCAGTGTCTCTCCTTTAGACTGCCCCAGTGTCTCTCCTTTAGACGAACCCAGTATCTCTCCTTTAAACTGGCCCAGTGTCTCTCCTTTAGACTGACCCAGTGTTTCTCCTTTAGACTGACCCAGTGTCTCTCCTTTAGACGGACCCAGTGTCTCTACTTTAGACCGGCCCATTGTCTCCCCTTTAGACTGGCCCAGTGTCTCTCCTTTAGACTGACCCAATGTCTCTCCTTTAGACTGACCCAATGTCTCTCCTTTAGACGGACCAAGTGTCTCTCCTTTAGACCAGCCCATTGTCTCTTCTTTAGACTGACCCAATGTCTCTCCTTTAGACCGGCCCATTGTCTCTTCTTTAGACTGACCCAATGTCTCTCCTTTAGACTGGCCCAGTGTCTCTCCTTTAGACTGACCCAATGTCTCTCCTTTAGAGTGGCCCAGTGTCTCTCCTTTAGACCGGCCCAGTGTCTCTCTTTTAGACTGACCCAATGTCTCTCCTTTAGACCGGCCCAGTGTCTCTCTTTTAGACTGACCCAATGTCTCTCCTTTAGACTGCCCCAGTGTCTCTCCTTTAGACGGACCCAGTATCTCTCCTTTAAACTGGCCCAGTGTCTCTCCTTTAGACTGACCCAGTGTTTCTCCTTTAGACTGACCCAGTGTCTCTCCTTTAGACGGACCCAGTGTCTCTACTTTAGACCGGCCCATTGTCTCCCCTTTAGACTGGCCCAGTGTCTCTCCTTTAGACTGACCCAATGTCTCTCCTTTAGACTGACCCAATGTCTCTCCTTTAGACGGACCAAGTGTCTCTCCTTTAGACCAGCCCATTGTCTCTTCTTTAGACTGACCCAATGTCTCTCCTTTAGACCGGCCCATTGTCTCTTCTTTAGACTGACCCAATGTCTCTCCTTTAGACTGGCCCAGTGTCTCTCCTTTAGACTGACCCAATGTCTCTCCTTTAGAGTGGCCCAGTGTCTCTCCTTTAGACCGGCCCAGTGTCTCTCTTTTAGACTGACCCAATGTCTCTCCTTTAGACCGGCCCAGTGTCTCTCTTTTAGACTGACCCAATGTCTCTCCTTTAGACCGGCCCAGTGTCTCTCCTTTAGAGTGGCCCAGGCGTCCAGCCAGCCGAAGCCAACACCATGGTTCACGCCTGTCATTAAATGGACACTATAGTCACTAGAACCACTGCAGCTGATATAGTTGTTCTGGTCTGTATAGCCCATCCCTGCAGTCTTCATAGAAAAAGGTAGAGTTTACATTGCTGGCTAGATAAACCTCTACATACAGTCACACAGACGGCCACTAGAGGTGCTTCCCATCTCAGCGTCTTGCGTGGAGCTGCTAAACTCTCCATATAGAGATTCATTGAATAACTGCATTTCTTTGAGGAGATGCTTATTGGTGCAATTTTGTGTTTTGCTGCGCATGCACAATAGCCTCCAAATGCTTTCCTGGATTGACTGAGATCAACAAGTATAATTATCTCAGCATGGAGACGGAACCAGGCAGACCAGCACTGCATGGGAGAAATGGCGGGTAATGGTGGGGCCTAAACACTTCATTTAACACTAACGTGTCAGGAATATGTGTTCTGTTAATGAACATGAAGATAAGGAAATATCACCAAAACACAATCGCCTCGGCACGATTTCATCAAGTGCTGGATAAAAATTGATTTGAAATTTAGTAATTTCTCTTTTCAGACTTTCTTTTCTCACCAATTTCAGGAAATTGCCATATCTGTATAGACACCTGCGTGGGTCTTACCTCGGATTTACCTCGGAATTTGCTACTTCCCTGGGATTCACACCATTTAATAAAACATTTAAAAAAAACTATAACTTCTGGTAACTTTTTTTTTATGAAATGCTTAGTTTTCTTCTACATTTAAATTAAAGATTTAGCAAATAACATCATGATCCAGTTCAGACAAGGCACAGCCAGGGCACAAAACGCAAATGAGGAGAAATAGACACATTGTTTAATTTCTTCTCCTATCTGTAAGCTCTCTCTATACTGACTGCCAGGTGTAATGGGCGGAGCTTATAACAATGATTGACAGGGAGCTAAGATGGAGGCGGCTCTCTCTATACTGACTGCAAGGTGTAAAGGGCGGAGCTTATAACAATGATTGACAGGGAGCTAAGATGGAGGCGGCTCTCTCTATACTGACTGCCAGGTGTAAAGGGCGGAGCTTATAACAATGATTGACAGGGAGCTAAGATGGAGGTGGCTCTCTCTATACTGACTGCCAGGTGTAAAGGGCGGAGCTTATAACAATGATTGACAGGGAGCTAAGATGGAGGTGGCTCTCTCTATACTGACTGCCAGGTGTAAAGGGCGGAGCTTATAACAATGATTGACAGGGAGCTAAGATGGAGGTGGCTCTCTCTATACTGACTGCCAGGTGTAAAGGGCGGAGCTTATAACAATGATTGACAGGGAGCTAAGATGGAGGCGGCTCTCTCTATACTGACTGCCAGGTGTAAAGGGCGGAGCTTATAACAATGATTGACAGGGAGCTAAGATGGAGGTCGCTCTCTCTATACTGACTGCCAGGTGTAAAGGGCGGAGCTTATAACAATGATTGACAGGGAGCTTGTTTTCGATGTCCTCGCTGGCCTGTTAATATATACATGTATGTTAATCTCTGCACAACAAAAAATAAGAATGGAAAAAATGTAAATAATAATAAAATCAATAAATTCAATACATATAGACAGCTGATCTGCATGGTCTGTTATAATTCACGCAATGTTTTACTAAAGACACAAAAAAAAATTTGTAATTATTTTCTAAGCCAGGCCTGCTATGTTTTCAGTTTGGCTACTTTAACTTCAAATTAAACATTCACTTTGAAGGCGAGAAGATTTATACTTTATCGAATAACCTTGAGCATGTTAAATCGTGTGTAGCGCCTCCTTGTTGTACAGCGCTGCAGACTAAGTTGGCGCTTTCTACATAATAATTAGAACACTTTGCTTTGTAGTGTTGGAGTTGCAGGCGGTCACTGGGGGTCCCTTTCACTCTTCCTTGGGTCAGTGAATCTTTCAGCAGCCCCTGCCTCCCCTCACTCCAGGCACACGTACACCCCTCCCCAGCCCTCCTCATCTGACCCCTGGGCAGCAGGAACTTCTGTTAAAGCTTTTGTGTTTAGATAAGTTCTTTTTCCACAATTTAGTGCAGTAAAAAGCTGTTTGATGGAGATCTCCTGCAGGCTTTGGAGTGATGTTTTATTTTGGAACATTTCTCATTGACAAATGATCTGGAAGTGGTATCAAATGATCCTCGTAACATTAAGGAGAGGAGTGTCCTGGGATAATAATACAATGAGCAGATCAGAGAAAGTTACAGAGTTTAATTAGGATCGAATTCTAATCTGGATATTGAATATCCTCATTATCAAGAGCATATTGTGTATCCACATCATAAACGTTTGCCCTGATCTCAAGAGCTTACAATCTATAAGAGAGGTGCAGTCTGAGACACAGAATGTGTTTTGTTGTGTTTTCTCTATAGAGCACATATTTTTTTTTTAATTCTGTCATCTAAATTTAAAAATAGGAGTATAATTGTTTTTTGAGCAATTATTCAAATATTGCGGCTATAGCGGCAAATTTAAAATAGCATTCACCGTTACAGCGGCTCTGCGACAACTGCTTCTATTTAAATGCCTCCATTAGATCTAGTTACAGCACGGAGTTCAAATGTGGACACCGCTTGTGACCCTGCGTCCTAAGGGTATGGGGGGTACAGAAGAGCACCCCCAAATTATCAAGGAGTCCAATCAGGTTACACACTGTGTTTTGTTCACTAAGCAGTGAATTAAATTGAAAACCAAATTGCAAAATTCAGGTTAAAATATCAGGCTGTAAGAATTAACACTGTTTACCTACATTTTGCAATTCTTTTTTAATGTAATTACAATTTGCTGTTTAGCAAATAAACCCCAGGTGTAGGTGGAGCTGATGATATGAGCTGATTAAATCGAGAGTCTCGCAAAGATTTAAAAATTCTTGTTTCTTAAAGTAACTATAAAAATATTAATGATATTTTAATTTAAAGGACGACTGTAACAAGTATTCCTAACGCTACAGTCCCTATTTAGTTTATGTGAAATGTATTTACTGATTTTCTAAAGGCAAAGAATTGCTCCAGAACGAATTTGCTCATTTCTGTCCTCAGAATATTTCCTAAGTGGATATGTCAGGAGTTAGTGCTCCCACTAAGTGTCTCAGAGTCACAACATCAATTATGGTCAACGCAGCCTGTCCTGCTTCGAAGACAATGAAATCGATACCATTAAGTTTGATAATAATACATTCCCACACATATGAACGCTCCTTCCTTGCTTATATTTAATTAAATTTTATTATTATTATTATTAATAATATCATCAAACTGACATTTCTGGGTCATTTTGGAAATTTCCACGTTTGCTGTACATTAGATGTTTAGTTTATAAACCACCAGTCATAAGCGGGCACAGTGCAAATAATTAATAAATAATTGTGACCCAAAGATTGTTTCACTCTAAATGGTGAACACACGGACATTTAGTTCCAAATATCTATCTTTACAATTCGTTCAGGAAATGTTCCAGGATGAATACAAACGTGACCAGGGGAGCGCGAGATTTACCACCTTTTAAAATTATTTTTATTAAACAATTTTTGAAAAACATAATAATCAATTATTATCTCTGCATATCTTGATTCTCGACTCTTCCTAAAAAAACCTCAAAATGAAACACTTAGTATCTCCCACCGGGGGGCCCAAGCCCCAAGCCCCCGAGCCCCGGTATTACAGCCAACTTCAATAAATTAATTAATAAATTACAACCAATCAACAAACAGCTCAGTGGGCAGATCAGTGCAGGCTGGGGAAAGATTTACAAATTGTTCTATTGTTTGAGAGGAATCGTCAGGAATTCAAAGTAAATTTTACATTTTAACACGTTGGCTTGGAAGATTTTTCAATTCTCTTTGAATTCCCGCTATAGTAAATAACCCTGCTGATTTTGTCTGTAGGTTGTTTTTAACTCATTTTAAATCCTAAGAACTACGTGCCGTTCACGCTTTCTCAGAGAAAGATGGCAAAAAATGATTACCTTCACTAATTACATTACTTTGAAAAATAGAATTGACAACTGTGACTAGTGAGAGTTTCTTTATCGGCCATTTACAGTTGCAAGAAAAAGTATGTGAACCCTTTGGAATGATATGGATTTCTGCAAAAATTGGTCATAAAATGTGATCTGATCATCATCTAAGCACATGTCAGTATTCCCAATGTTTAACACAGAGGGGTCTCCAATTAACAGCCCCCAAATAAAGCCCTGTAAATCTCACCAGAAAACAAACATTTCTGTAGAAACATCTGCCCAGCAGCAGCCCTTAAATCCCATCTCCCTCTGCGCCCATCTGATGTTACGAGAAAACACGCGCAGGATGAGGGTCTCGTTTATTGGGGGTGATGTGTACAGACCCTCCACTAATAAAATCTTGTCTTGGGAAGTGGTGTGCTCACTCCCTGCTGGGTGTCACAGCTCCCCAAACACTTGTTTTGGTGCTGAAACAAATTAACGGCTTGTTATTTTTGTCGTATTTAATGATTCTTTCCCTTTTAGCGTCTCTTTAAACTCTTGTTTTTCAAATACTTTAAACTTTTTATTTCTTTAATTTTAAGGGTTTAAAAAAAAAAAAAAAAAGTTAAATAAATAAAACACTGGTCACTTCAAAACTCCTCTATAATACAAGACCCTAAAAATGTACCTTTTGCACGATTTGATTATTTAGTTTGTATTTTGGAATTCTAAAACATACACTTTTTTGTTACCATATTTTCCTGGAGTGGGGGTCATTATTTGTGTT